CTAGCAGCCCCATCAATTAAAACTTTTCCTTTGTCATCATGATCCCTAAAACTTGAACCCAACACTGCCCAAAGGAAGACCCAGATGAGGAACAGATATAGGTTTCTCCTCTCAGGAGATGCCTTCAGCACCTCCTCTCAGGCTGTAGACAAAAGCAGGGAAGTGGACTGGCTGTGTGAATCAAGCATGACAATCCAGCAATCTTGAGTAAATTTCCACTGATTTCTAATAAATCTGAGTAACCAGCAAACGTCACACTGATCAGGCTGCTGAACCTTTGCTAGAACAAAAGTTGCAATAGTTGTTCCTATCTGTACTCAAATTAGAGACCAAAAGCAGTACCGTATTTTTTGCTCTATAAGACTCACTTTTTTCCCTCCCAAAAAGTAAGGGGGAATGTGTGTGCGTCTTATGGAGTGAATACAGGCTGCACAGCTATCCCAGAAACCAGAACAGCAAGAGGGATCACTGTGCAGCGATCCCTCTCGCTGTTCTGGCTTCTGAGATTCAGAATATTATTTTTTCTTATTTTCCTCCTCCAAAAACTAGGTGCCTCTTATGGTCTGGTGCATCTTATAGAGCGGTACGGTATTTTGAGGGTGCTACCTGAAAATTATCAAATTCATTGAAAACTTGTAAGCTACTGAGCTTGAAATATTTCTGTGAAAAAGCTTATCCAATGGGAACACCCATCTTTTATCCTAGGATTCATTAAATGCAAGATTTAGGATTTATAAAAGAAAATACCTTTATCCTAAGATAAAGATGGGTATGGGTTAGGGTTATAGGGTTAGTGTTGGAGTTGGTTAGGGATTGGGTTAGGGTTAGGGTTAGAAGTAGGGGTTAGGGTTGAGGTTAATGTTAGGTTTAGGGCTGGGGTTAAGATTAGGTTTACAGTAAATGTTTGGGTTATAGGATTAGGGTTATGGTGAGGGTGAAGTTTAGGATTAGGATAAAGGTTAGGGTTATGTTAGGGTTAGGGCTGGGGTTCAGATTATGTTTAGGTTTAGAGTTGGATTAGGGTTGGGGCTAGTGTTGGAGTTGGGGTTAGGGATGCAGTTAAAGTTAGGGTTAAGGTTGGGGTCAATGTTAGTGTTAGGGCTGGGGTTAAGTTTAGGGTTAGGATTGGATTAGGGTTATAAGATTAGGGTTTAGGGTTTGGGTTAATGTTAGGGTTAGGGTTGGAGTTAGGGTTAGAGCTGGAGTTAGGGTAAAGGTTAGGGTTAGGATACAGTTAAGGTTAGGGTTAGGGTTAAGGGTTAGGTTAAGGTTAGGGTTAGGTTTATGTCAGGCTGGAGTTAAGATTAGGGTTAGGGCTAGGGTTGGAGTTAGGGATAGGGTTATGGTCAATGTTAGCACAGGAAGCAAAGATTTCCAATAAAGAAGTGCAAACACATGTAATAATAAGTAATACACTGCTGTAATCCAGTTTTCCATAAGTTCACCATAGAGATAAATAGCCAAACATGTGTAATGCTGTATGAACTTTTGCAAATATGTAGGAGGAGGAAGGTTGCCTGCATTCATTCTGACCTGGATCTCACATTAAATACAGGGTCGCTTCTGGTTGATGCCACAGCTCATCTTGGCAAGTTTTTGACGTATAGTTTTCAGTTTGAACAGCCTGAGGACAGAGTATCCTTGGGGATATAAACAAGTGTGCTTGACCCATACTTATACTAGCTGATTGAAGCTGATTTTTAACTTGGCCTTGTAAGTCCTCATAGTTTCTTAGATTGGGTTTTCTTCAAATAAAAACTAACAAAAGAACCTGCCATGTTCTACCTGCTTGACTGGGTAGAAGAGGTAATTAGTTCCTTGTTGCTGGAAGGTTTAAATCTGTCTGTATTGCAGGTGATTGTGACAAGGTCCCTGTTAAAGAAACCCCCCTTAGATGCTGCCAATTTCACCAATTAGTAAGCAGTTTTAAACATACAAATCTTGGATAAACTATTGCAACATATGGTGACCTTGCAAGTCCACAGTTGTTAGTTGGCTCCCAGTTTATTTCCAGGCTCTGTGCAAGTTGCTGGTTCTTCAATTTAAAGCCCTAAATGGATTGGGACCTGTGTATCTAAATAGCTGTCTTCTTTCCACAGGCAAAGGATTTGGCCTATTCATTAAAGGTAAAGGGACCCCTGACCATTAGGTCCAGTCGTAACCGACTCTGGGGTTGCGGCGCTCATCTTGCTTTATTGGCCAAGGGAACCGGCGTTTGTCCGCAGACAGCTTCTGGGTCATGGTGGCCAGCATAACTAAGCTGCTTCTGGCGAACCAGAGCAGCACACAGAAACGCCGTTTACCTTCCCACTGGAGTGGTACCTATTTATCTACTTGCACTTTGACGTGCTTTCGAACTGCTAGGTTTGCAGGAGCAGGGACCGAGCAACAGGAGCTCACCCCGTCATGGGGATTCAAACCGCTGACCTTCTGATCGGCAAATCCTAGGCTCTGTGGTTTAACCAACAGCGCCACCCGCGTCCCTTGGGCCTACTCATTAGGAGCGTCCAAATTATGGCATTTGCTGACCTGGGAGATTTGTCTAGCTACCTCTTTGAGCATGCTCAGAGGGCAGATGGTCATTTGCTCTGGATTCCAATTGTTGTGATTTGCTGTTTAATTTTCATGCTGTTGTCTCACAATTGCTTTTCAATACGGCTTTATGACACTTGGCTATAAACTGCTCTGAGGACCTAATCCAAGTGCAAGACACACAACAGAAATATTTTTATGAATGAGCAAGCAGGGGGTTTGCAGTACCCTAAGGTATAATTCACCAATAAAAAAATGTACCTTGAAAACAAGGAATACTCCAGATGGAGAAGTCAAAGCTTTCTGGCTTCTAGAATATTTGTATGATTTTCTATGCTATTAACTGATCATTCATATTCAATTTGAAATGACCATGTGAGATAATCAGAATGAATTTAAACTTGTTAGTCAACTCATTTTGGGTATGAATCTGCATGTATGATGAAGATGATCACCTCAGAAGCTGAGAACCCAATGAGGGTCATCGTATCACATTCACTGTGAAACCTTTTGATTCCAGACTGAAAAAAGGAGAGAAGAAAAAGAACCTCTTGGGAAAACTACAACAATACATTTGTAATTCAATTCTGCACTGCTACATTTGTAATTAAAGAGAAAAAATAGGTTTTAATATAAACATATACACAATGTTTCTCAAATTTCTAGATGATTTTTCTCAGAACCAGCCTTTATATACATAATTTTAGTCCATGATGATATATTCCACATGTTCTTTTAATTTAATTTATACACTTATTGACAAAGACAAATTCTTAAACACCATACAGTGATGGTTTATTCCAATTCTCTCCCTTGAAATGAAACTGAGACCAGTGTACCTTAAAGCAAATTACCAAAATACAACTCATTCATACTTTACATACACTGTGATACATCCAGGTTTTTTCAACATTTCACTCACATTACATAACAAAATCAATTCATATAATACCTTTGTAGAGCAATTGCTGCTCCTAAGCCACTCACACCATTGCTGATTCTCATGCTGTCATCATACAAATGTTCGTATCCACACACAGAAACCTCAAATGCTATATGTGTAATAAATTAATTAAGGCTGCAGCCCTAAACACACTCACTAGGGAGTAAGTGCCTTTGAAGACAGCGGAACTTCTGAGCTAGCATGCACAGGGGTGCTTTATAAGCTTCTTACACTTTTCAAGCCATGGCTCTTCTTTGTGGACAAGTCTATAGATTTTTCAGCATTCTAGATAAATAGATTTTGTTTGTTTGTTTTTTGTAGTATTCTTGCTGCTGCATGACAGCCTGTTTTTCCTTGTATATCCACATGTAGGCCAAATTTCATAGATACTTCAAAATGCAAGCAAGAAGTGATCCCGCAACTGAGGAGGGGTACTTATAGATCCATCCACAAGATCTGACCAAGCCATACGATATATGCATCCATGTGTTACTTGAGAGCTGAACACAATGGGATGGCTTAGCAATAGCAATGATGTTGCTAAAGCAATGGAAGACTTGGCCCATGATTAGGGTAGAACAAAGTTTTATCTGATGGACAATGAACTAAGTGTTTTAGCATCTGAACATCTATGCCCTTTACATTTTAGCAGCAACAGTATATTTATGTCAGCAGTAGATAGTCTTCCAGCACCTGATTAAAATGTTTACACGAACAGTAAAAGATACTTTGCTATCTGTATCTGAAGAACAACAGATTTTGAAACAGAGGAGCAGATCAAACAAACTGAATTTAAAAAGCACCACCCATTTCAGAACAAACATGTGGAAGAAATAACAAGATAAAGAGCAATACAGACACAAGGAGCACATAAAAACAGCCAGTGGAAGACAGATTGTATCCTCTTTCACATACAGTTGCCCCACTGCCTTTTCTGCATAGCACATGATCTCTGCCTGCTTTAAATATGCTTATCAGTGATGCAGATAGATTTACAGAGGTTACAGTGCCATTGCTCCAGCCCTTGGTATTTCATTTCATAAATATGCCTGAGCAAAGTAATATTGCCAACGTTAACTGGTATTGGGATGATTCAGTCCAATTTTGTGGGAGTTGTGGAATACTCAACTCTTAGGCGATGAAGGCACTTGGCTCTTCAAATAATTGGGTTGCTTTTCCATTGATATTGCTGGTTGGCCTTTTTCAGTTCACAATGGAGAGCACTGGAATCTTCTAATGAAAAATGTTTTAAGGCAATAAAAGGTGCATACAGCGAGTACATCAAGATTTTCTTTTCTTGTTTTCTGTGTGCGTACATTCCACATCACATGCCTTTACAAACTTACCTGATTCATATGTAGATTACATGGTTCAGTAATTTCCTACAGAATTTTAAAGTGCCACGGTACAAACTTGCTTTCTCTTCCCCAAAGCCTTGGCGAGCTCTGCCATAATCTATCACCACAAACCACTTGGGCTTGACATGTGTCTTTAGAAAGATGAACTCCATTTCTTCACATTTATGCTAACTGGAATCCAGCGGGTGTACTAGTCCTTCTTTATAAACATGAAGAATAGCTTCACAGACAAATTTGTACTGACTCTGCATAACACACACACAATAAAAAAAGGAAAAGGTTAAAAATAACCTAAGTTAGATTTCATTTATATAATATCAGTACAATGGTCAGCTACAATGCCATCATTTTCATACACTGAAGTTAATACCAGCATTGCCTTTAAGACCAAGATGGATAGCATGTGCAGGGGGCAGGGAGAGATCAGCATTAGGTTCTTCAGGTGATTTAAGTCCATCTCTGAAGAGCTGAGATAGGCAGCAGAGACAGGAAACAGAGATAAACCAGCAGAATAGAGGAGGAGGCACAAGTCAAAATGTGTTTATCTAGGCCAAATGAAATCTATAGTGCACAGGAAACCACTGTTTCAATTCAGGCCTCAGTAAATACAACAGGATTTCTTGAATAGTTCTAATTCATGCTGGAATCTCCCTCTGAAAGTATTTTGTTGAAGCATGGCAACTTTAAAGGCAATTAAGTGTTCTTCAGTAGAGACAGAATCACTATGTGCAAGGGATGCTTAAGCAATGAACTTCCTGCATCAGCTTGAGGGCAGGACTAGATGACCACTGAGGACCCTTCAAACATTACAATTATATGATTTCAATATATTGAAACTGGGTCAAACACATTGAAAATAGGCTCCTGTACTTTTTACTTACTGATGTTTGCACCATCATAGCACGATGGTCTCGCATCTTTCGTACAATATCCAGTGGATAAACAGGTTGGCTTTTTTCAATTAAGCACAGAGCTGTTTCCATAGCAACCAATACTCCAGTCCGGCCTATTCCAGCACTGCAAGAGGTAAGCAACAAGACTGCATTTTTTTAAAGCAACAACAACCAAAGCATATGTTTTGTCCTGAATTCATATTAAAATTATGGCTTTTTTAAAAATACTGAAAATCTCTTGAAAATATTAGGAATGCTGAATACAACAGAACACTTAAAAATCACTTCAGCAACATGTTCTTTGCAAATTTGTAAGAAAACATTTCACAGAAAAATGGAGAAAACAAGTAAGTTTTAGTAATCAATGGTTAAATATGTAATTTAATCTAATTTAAGCTAGTAGTTTTGCTCCCCCCTCCCCGAAGTAACAGGATATCACAAAGAAAAATTCAATGGTCATAGCTGCCCTATTGGGAGAGGGGGGCAAAAGGAGTTATCTCCTCACAGTTAAGAGACTGAGAGCAGGCCAGAAGATGATACGCTCCTCCCTTACCCAAGGCAAACTTCCTCCACCCACCATAACAGTGGCTAAAGGATACACTGGCATCAAAATCAATGATAGTTAAAAATAATCAGGTACACTGCTTAACCAGAAATTCCAGCCAGCTTCAAATCCTGGTTTCAAATAATTATAAACAGCAAACTTAGACAACCATGATTAAAATCATATTGGCATATATATTTAAGCATGGTTTAGAAAAGCAAGAATGTGCTCTATGCAACCATAGAAGAGATTGTGCATCTTGCAAATGAGATGTCTATGAGTGCACAATAAGGAATTGTGTGCTGCCACACAGAAGAGCAGCCCTGCTGGATCAGAGCAAGGGTCAATACAGTCCAGCACACCAGATACCTCTGAGAAGCCCACACGAGGGACATCAAGGCAATAACGCACTTGGTATTCAGTGGCCTCTGAAACTGGAGGTTCCATAGAATCAGAGTTGCCCGGAACCATGGAGGTAATCGAGTCCAGCCTCCTGCAACGGAGGATGACAGACGGCAGTCCAACCTCTGCTAAAACATCTCAAAGAGGTGGCAAAGCAAAGGCCACCTCTTAGGCACGCACACTGTTCTACTGTTAGATAGCTCTTATAGTTAGTAAGTTTCTCCTAACATTCAGCCAAATATGCTTCCCAGCACTTTCCATTCATAGGTTCTAGGCCTGTCTTGTGGAACAGTTTGTGCCATCTTCTGCATAACAACCCCTCAGATATCATGTCCCTCCTCCATCTTCTCTTATCCAGGCTAAACATATCCAGCTCTTTCAACTATTAATTATAGGACTTAGTTTTCAGACTTCTTGCCATCTCCGTCACCTTCCTCCAGACACACTATTGTTTGTTGATGCCCATCTTAAAATGTGGTGCCCCAAATTGGTCACAGTACTCCAGATGTGGTCTAAACAGCACAGAATAGAGTGGAACTGTCACTTTTCCTTCTGGGTTCCCACCACTTTTAACTTCATAATATAGCTACATTACTGGTACGTATCTTCTTTGAATTTTTCTACTCTACTCTTAAAGCTAGTTAAGCTAGTGGCCATCACCACATCTTATGGCACAGAATTCTATGAATCAAATAATTGCCAGGTGAAGAAGTACCTCCTTTTGTCTGTCCTGAATATTCTACCAATCTGTTTCATTGCATGACCCCAAGTTGTAATATGAGAGAGGAATAAATTAATAAGTCTTTGAATGACTACTAGACATGGTGATTACATGGAATCTTCAGGTTTAGAGATAATATGCCATTGAGTGCCAGCTACTGAGTTATGTCTTCATGCCTTGTTTGTGGGCCACCACTAGGAAACAGATGCTGAACTAGAAGGACCCTTTATCTGATCCAGTGGGATTCCTATAAGTTCTATTTTTAAAAAAGAAAACAATAACAATAAACCCCACCCCACATAAAATCACGCAACCAAGTTGCATTTACAACCAGTCACATTTAAGCTATGTTTTCTGTCTTTTGGGAAAGTCCACTGAAAGGAATAAGCACTTCAAATACATTTGAACAGTCCCTAAGCAGCCTGAAGCAGCAAGAGCAGTTTTGATTCACTATCAGCTATAACACATTCAATATTCATAAAGCAGACTCAAGAACTATCACAAACTATTATGCCAAATGGTTATATGCACAATTATTTACTGCACCTGCAGTGAACAAGAACTGGCGCATTTCCCACTCTCTTTGATCTCATGTAGGTCACAAATTCCAAAAAGTCTGTGGAATCGTCAGGGACACCATGATCAGGCCAAGCCACATACTGGAGATGAGTGACTGTGTGTTCTTCCTCTGTCTGAAATAAATTAACATTTTCACTATAAAGGACTACAGACATTACTGTAAAAACAGCCTTAACTGAAAATTATGTAATGGGAAAATATCAAACAAACCATTTGTCAGTTCAGAGTCTTGCATTTAGATAGCTCAACAATAAATATTGTTGATTTGTGGTCAAAAGCAGTGCATCATTTATTTCTTTATTAGCTAAATCTCTTTCCCCACCCCCCATCTCCAGAATAGTATTTTCTGTTGTCTCTCTCAGTAAACCCTGACAATGTACAGTAAACCTACTAGAAATCTAGTTACATTCTCATCTGAATGTTTTCTGTACTCCATAGACCAATCAAATATGTGAAACTGTGCTATAGCTATTTCTCATAAAAGCTCAATTTTCAACATAGCAAACTGTTTATATTTCCATTTTTAGGAAGGCAAAATACTGTCACATACAGAGAATCCTAACTCAAAGCCACCTGTAACACACTGGGTTCCCTGGGGACTCCCTCTCAAGGCACTTTGTCTCTTTATGGCTGGGACTGCCACCTGGTGGGAAGAAAGCTGCTTCAGGTAAAGAACAGCTTAGGTGTTGGGAAGAGCTTGGAGGTCAGCAGTTTGAAGCAGACTGCAGCAGAAGGGAAACATTAAACCCATCTCTTTATGCACCTAATCTCTGCAGCCATTTAAAAAAAAACAGGTGAGTTCAACACAGTAACACATATAATGTAATACATAGTTTGGTCCAAAGCAGATTGCTTCCATTTTGCAAAAAACTCTGCCAACTCTGTCACAGTATACCTGACACAAAATGTAGGTAGGGTCTGTTTAATGAACAAAAGATGCAAAAACAAGCAATCAGCTCCAAACCAAATTTGCCATATACCAGTTATGCTGCCATAGCCAAGTCTACATGTGGCTATATTTTGCCAAAGTCTGCATGAATACTCAAAGCTCATTAGAAGTCAGTGGCCCTAGCCAAACTGAAACAAACAACAGCTGGATAGGTAAAGCTGCATCAAACAATATGGACTGGGACAAGAAAGGGTCCCAGTGGCTTCCATGCAGCTTCCTATGCTTTGTTCTTCTGCATTTACTGTTCATTCATCATAGGAGGCTGTATTGGAAGTGTAATAAGAAGAGCCCAGCTGGATCAGGCCAAGAACCCATCTACTCCAACATGCTGTTCTCACAACTGTCATCCAGATACAGTGTTCCAAATATGGTTGCACCATAGATTTGCATAGTAATAGTATTTTATTACTAAATATTTATTAATATTTAGCATGTTTTTTGTTATTTTCCAAATTACCCCTAAAACAGAATTGATGTTTTTCACAGCTTCTTCACACTTGGGTCATTTGAGCTACCTACCACAAACTGCAAGGTTTCATTCCTTCTCAGTCATCACTAGGATCTGTTTGTGATAGTTGTGAAACTAGGATTTTTGGTCCAATGCTTATCACTTTGCAATTGTTTACATTACACTGCATTACCATTCAGGTGTGTAGGATTCTCTCTCCTCATTTTTCTGTGCAGCAAAATAAGGAATTGAGTGCTGTAACACTGTACTGCACACAGACTTAGTGTTCATTTAGCAATCACTTATTCATATAGAAACGGGAGTTCTAAGTTTTGGCATGTACATGCAAACTTGTATATGTATTCTCACCCATGTAAGCATGCACATGCATTAGTGACAAAGAAAGCATCCAAGCTCTTTATTGAATCTCATACCACAAACATCTAAGAGCTGTTTGAATGGGCCCTTACTAATGAATAAAGACAAAATAAGTAACAGCACAAGCACTTATACTTGAGTTGCTTCTTAATAATAATAATAATAAACAACCAGAAGGTTAGCTTTGACTCAAATAATCTTTGTAGATACATATTCCAGTAAGGCTGACCAATGGACCAAGCGCAGCAGCATTTAGATCAGACAAAAAGCACAACATGTACATAACCATGTGTGAAGTTTTAATATGTATTTTTTCTTGTAGCAAACTGAAAAAGTAAAAATCACTTACTTCAATATTTGTAATAACCATTTCTCTAAACACGTAAGCAATGGTACAATCTTCAGATCGACACTTGACACGAAAGTTGCCGTAATCAAGAACGTCTGGAGGATCAGGCCAATAAGGATGGCATTTGGTCTAACACAAAAGAAAAACTCATCCTGTCACATTTATATCTTCTATGGAAACATATCTTAGAGGGTTGCTCAAGCAATGCTAATAATAAACACAGAACATACCATGTACTAATTGACATGACAAAAGGCCCAGGTCCAGGCCAAAGAGTTAGCAGAAGCAATCCCCAAAATATCTCCAGCCGCCGCCACAGCAGCTGGAGTTAGGAGCAGGCCAGAGTATATAAGGCTTTCATCTTTAGCCTTTCAGTTGCTGGAAACAAAATAGCTCCTTGGTTCCTGAACCTTGATATGCTAAAAAAATTCACAAGCCACAACTTATTGTCCACCTGCTAAGTTACACTGAAGAATGAAGAAAGAGGGCCTAGTTCCAATGTGCCAAGCAGACCAGCAAACCACATCTCAATTCACATGCAAACCTCCACCCCCCGGAATGGCTTGATAATCAGGAAAACTGTACCTACCCGCCCTCGTTCCGTAAGGGTGGTCAGCATGATAATCAGTGATAATCTGTGATCCCAAACTGCTTGCCAGAAATGAACACAGGTGTGTGGAAGAGGCCCTTGAGTGGCTATGTATTTGTTCACAATGCCTGCAGGAGGAATTTCCAGCTACGAGAAGAAAGAAAGCTGTAAATAAGGTTGATTCTTATAGGTAATTTTACTTGAAGTATTAGCAAAGGCAAGTGGATAATAAATAACAACAACTATTAGTATTTCTAGTCATCCTCAAATACAACATCAACCCACACGATTAGGTCACTAAATCAAAATTGAACAAGAAATTGTACAAGAAATTCTGATAATTTTGATACTTTTAGTTCTGTAGACCCATTGAAACTAATGGACCTAAGTTAGTCCTGTCCATTAATTTTAATAGGCCCACTAGTATGGAAACAACTTGTCGTAATTATTTCAAGACCTATCTGTGTTACTTACGTTAACATAATTTGCATTTATGTAATCATCATTTCCTTGTAATATTACTCGAGTGATATCATCTAGCAAGAGAAAAAAATAGTAATTAGGTTATATAAATTAGTATCACTTTTCACAGAGATGGGGAATCAATTAGCTGCACAATATGGTCTGCAAACACAGTATTTTGAAAACTTAAGTAAATGAACTATGACCAAATAGGACACGAAAGAATAGAATGTGCCAGATTCAAATGAATCCTGAATCTTGAGCAGAAGTGGTTGCTTCAGAAAGATCTTGGGCTTTCAAACCAAAGTGGGGTCACTCCAAAGGTTCCCAGATAAAAACAGGAATCTCCGAAGTGAGAAAACAGCGCAGGCAGTGGGTCTGCCAAAAGCGATAAATTATCCTCAAGTGAATGCCATATAAGTGAATGTGAAAATGGGGGGGGCTCCTTTTTTTGCTGAGTGTTTTATAGCTTCTAATCAGAGGGAATGATTTTATCAGGAATCTCAAATCACAGTGTTCCGAAGCAGTGATGCTAAAGTAATAGATCACCTTCTGCTCTGTTCTGTGCTAGTTCTGCTGCTGCTGCTTACTTGAAACAGTCCTGTCAAGTCAGTTTACACTTCATTTCTGTGACTTTTAGTGCTAACTCAGCAGAGCCAAGTCTGAAGGTGAGTCCCCCACCCCTTCATCTTAACGCCTTAGCTCCTGCATTTATACTTCTGACAGGTTTCTTATGAGCACTTCTATGATTTTTACAATGTTCATAAAATTGATGGCAACAGAATACGGGAGATTAACCCCACCAAAACTGCAAACGTTTGGCAGTGTTCATCCCCTAAAACATACAAATTTCATTCAATTCAGAAAACTTATATGCTGTTAAAAATAATAATCAAAGTTTAATGTGCCCAGCACAACCCCTCCTGAACCTATCCTACTGGAATTTAGCAGAATAAAGGAGGGTCTGCCCGAGGGCCTATTATGCCTCCAAATTCCATCTAATTCTGTCAAAAATGGGGAGAAAGAAGTGAATGGGAAGACATGAAGTTTCGTTCCCCCAAAATTAGGCAGCCTCTAAATTTGTCTGAGCCAAATCAGGTTGTTTTCTGAAGCAATACTACAAAACACAGCACTGTCTAGGGGAGGCTTTCTCAACATCAAGTTCCTAGATGTTGTTGAGACAACCACTCCCTGATCCTTGACTGCTGTCCCTCCTGGCAAATGATGAGAGTTGTAGCTTAACAACATCTGGTCCAGGTCAAAGGGGAACAGGGAGGAAACAACACTTTCCTCCTTTTGAAACCCTTCTGATTTCCATCCCCTGTTGTGCTATATGGTTCTAAAAAGCCCTGGTTCAAGATAGGCTTACCACACAAACATTATTATGGTCCAAAGACCCGCAAAAACAATTTCAAGAGCAATTTCAAAAGCAAAGTACAGCAAACATATGGAAAAGACATTACTAGACAGTCACTGTGTTTTATCCAAGACATGTTGATTTCTAATTCTATCCAAGACATGTTGATTTCTAATTCTATCCAAGACATGTTGATTTCTAATTCTAACTACCTGTGAGAGAAATTTTGCCATGACTAAAATTCCTTATCATCAAAGAGATACTTGAGATAAAAGATATCAGAGTTTCCTGGTAAATTTACCAATAAGGGCTTAATTAATTGGTTCTTGGCTTGCTTATACAGCCCACATATAGTAAGATACGTTTCATGCAACCAACAGCCTGAGAACATAGAGTATTCTGGTAAGTTATAGCGGTTAGCTTAGGACTTCAGATGACTCAAACTACAGTACTCTCTTGTTAAACTTTGAGTGGAGCACAGGAGCAGTTTGAAGCAGATGGGATATGGTCAACAAGCACTCAGGTGACATCAATCTTTCTTTCTCCACATACCTATAGCACAGATTCAGGGACTATTATGGTACTGTGCATGACCTGATGATTAACTGTTTGCTGGAGCTTTGTAGTGTTATGCACTGTGCCTCAGTGGCTTTCCCTTACTCCTGATTCTCCTGCCTTCCCATATGCTCTCAAAACACTCATTGTGTGCAAATGAAAAGAGGCCAACTAAAAGATCAGGCCAACATGCTGCCGGCTGTTCTTTTACGAGCAGCAGGGATTGGTCATCCATTTGCACTAGTGGTCTCCTCTTGCACCTTGTTGTTTCTTTGTTGGTAGGGAGTGGTTGGCCGGTGGGGACAATGAATCCTGCTGGGATGCTACTGGGCAGGGCTAGCCTGTCAGCTAAATTAATTAGGGGATGGATTGGTCACATGGGATGTCAAAAGGAGTGGTGGGTCAAAGAGGGATGATTATCTTAGGTGTGCCCATTAGAACACTAGGGGTGGGCTCACCCTTTTCAAGACCAGGTTTGTACTCTGGGTTTGAACCACGGGCCTCTAGCATGCAAGACTTAAGTTGTTTTATGAGATCAGGGTTTCACCTTCAGTCCCTGTGCTCCTAACATTGATTGCTATGAGGGAAAGGCCAATGCCCCACAACCTGTCTGCTGCTGTGGTTGAGCAGTTTGGGAACTGCTCTGTATAGGCTGAAAAAGGTTTGAGTTTCTAGCTGTCCAGAGATCAGTGGGGGCTTCCAGCCTTCTGTCTGGTGGGGCTCAGCCTCCAATTTCTGCTTTCAAATCCCATATCCTATGGGCAACTGGAGGGTACTGGTGTCAGTGTATGCCTGTGACTGCTTTTGTTGCAGTTTCTGTGTGGTAAAAGGGCAGTACTCTCTGTGAATGGGTCTTGAACCACTGTTCCACAAGCACTGTTATACTCTGTGCAAGCTCCCTGTGTAGGGAGATATTTGATCTACTAGTGGAGCTGTCATGGATCTTTAGAGATGGCATAAGGTAATCAGGATTAGTTGCCCCATTTATGTACAACAAATGTACTTTTGCTTACCCTGAATACGTAGAAATCACCTTATTTCGGTCCTGATTCACTTTTAGGCTGATAGGCATGGAATTACTGTTAAATATTACAAGTTAAATATTAAAGGAAATGAAAGGCAAAAGGTAATTTAATACTCACATGGCAGAACATCTTTGTACCGATTTTTGTCCATGTTTTGAGGTAGCTTTGCACAAGTAATAGCTAATCCTGGCTTTTTTCTATAAAGTTGCTGAAAGAAAATAAAAGCTCTTCACTGAATAATTAAATAAGGATCAAGTTGAATCTAGGCAGTCTAGAACCTCCATACACACTGCCCAGACTTGCTTGAATTATAACAAATATAAAATAATTCCCCACAAATGAACAACTGGCAGTTCCCAATCTCTGTGGATGGCAGCTTGACTGGCACTGGAATTTGCGGTGGTCTTGTAATTGCTCCATATCTCTGGCCAGATCATATGACAAGTGAGTTGGGGGCTTGTTTTATTTTGAGGCCTTGTTGCAAAGTGTTAACAAGTTAATGACAATGCAGGATTAGGCATTTACAGAAGAGAGTTACAGGGCAGGAAGGCGTTCTTAATCCTTGGCTTGCCTATCAAGTCAGAGGAAAGCTGACTAAATACCCCTCAAATTTTGATGCTAGTTCTTAACAGGATTACTGATTAACAAAAATTGTAAGAAGATAAACTTACTATTTTGACAGCTGCGTGTCATTTAAATACACTGTTAAATAAAATCTGATTAGGGCATTATGATATCTACATTGCACTTCTAAAACTGCCAATTAAAAGACTGCATTTAGTTTTTAATTTTGTGGTGAAACACAAGGGTTGTGTAGGCCTATCCAAGTAGCAATTATTAACAAAACATTACATTTTTCTGCTTTTATATTTTTAGAAACTTGCACTTCAGTATAGTTAAAACATGGTCATTATGAAAATAGAATGCTGGACTAAGTGGGCCTTTGGCCTGATCCAGCCGGGCTCTTTTATGTTTTTAAAGTCATGACTTACAATGCTGCTTTGGCCAGCACCTGAATGGACCCTTAGCTTCTGGAACACCAAGTGCTCCATTTCTGGGCCAGTGCTGTCAACAAATATAGCACACGATCACAGAGAAGAGAAAGTTAGAAGGAGGAGAGTAGCCAAGAGAATAGTGGCTTTATTTGCATCTGTTTAGGAAGGGACACATTCAAACCAAGGGTCTGACACTGTGATGGTTGCTTACTTCAAACTGAATTAGGACAGTTCCACTTTCCAGTCCTTTCTTTAGTTGCTCCATTGATTCTTCTAAAGTCTCACCATACTCAGAACAGTTGGGAATAATTGTTTCCAGAAAACTGGATCCATCAGCTTCATCTTCCAACTTGTTCTCAACAAATGGTCTAAGAACTAAAAATACACAGGCAAATCCAGATCTTTAACATTCTTCAAACAGTAATGTCTAGGTATTTTAAAGAAAATGTACATGAAAAAGGACAGATTTGTAAAAGCTGCTTTGCTAATTGTTGCTCTTTGACAGTTCCAAAGCAAATAGCCTAAGGCAGGTGAATATTAGCAGGGAGGGAGATGCAATTCAATCTCTTTCTGTGTCTCAGCAACTATTTTTTTCTTTGGCAAATTGCTGAAATATTGCTCTCATGAGGGGGAAAACAATTTTAACTCCAGCGACTTATCTCAAAACCTTGATTTGAAACCATGCTGAGATCAGTTTGCAAAGATTGGGTCTACAGACAAGGCCAATTTGGATGTCACACAAACCATGATTACAGAAAAATCTTGATATAATGGCATGATGGGGGGTATCTTGGAATCTCAAGTCTCTGGTGCCTGGATCCAGACCAGTAGAGTCCTGAAATTCAAAGATGGAAGCGAGGGATCAAAACACTTCCTTCCCTTCCACGCCAGAAGGAGGGTCGAGCTCAAACTACTAATTGCCCTAGGAGTGGAGAGCTGAAGGGAGGCTATACCCTCTTCCTCCCCAGAAGACCAGCTTTAGTTAACTATGAGATTCCAATGTTTCAAGTGACTCCTTGTAGAAATTTAAAGAAAAACTCGAAATAAAATAGCTTCTAGTGTACAGACAATAATCCTGCTCAGTTATGCTCCTAGCAGCATGATCCCACCACAATCCCACTCTTCAATAACAATACATCACATAAATACTTACCTTTCCGCCTGATCAGAAGTACAAGCTCACGTGTATGTGACTCTCTGCTGGCTTTTATAAACATCACTACTTGGTCATGTGTGTGCTCAGAGATGTCCCGGCCATTGATTAATACTATCTGATCACCTTCAAGCAATTTTGGAATGCATTTATCAGACTGCCATAAGACAAAAGAAAATGAAGTCACCATTTTCAAACCTTTCAGTCTAAGAAACAAATTGGATATTAACTTCAGTGTGAAGGATTTGACTGAATCTCTAATTAGCAGTGCTATTCTTTATCTTGATGAAGTATTATCTGCATTAGGAAACCATGGAAAATTTATTTGTTTAATATATTTGGAACAATTTTCCATCAGCAATGTCTGACACTATTCAGTTCAGATTGAGAATGAAGCTGAATGAATAATCCAGGGGCCCACATCCTGATTTTATGCATTTCTATTGAGATAATGTCCAAGTTTTCTTCCCACTCTCTTATTCTACTAACAATTAGCAGCAGCAGCAGTTATAGTCATAGTAGTAGTAGATTTCTATACTCTGCTTTTTTCCCTGATAGGGACTCAAGATAAAATACAATACAAAAATGAAGGAAGTTCAAAAGTTTATACTTACAGGGGAACCTGGAATGATTCTGGACACAACTAGAGGTATCTTCTGATCAATGCCCCCCTAAAACATGGTGCCAAAGTATTTTTATTTATTATATTTTTAATTATTATATTTATATCTAGCTACTCCTCTCAAAGCACCCCAGGATGGCAAGCAACAGTGACAAAACAATACAATCTTTAAAACATTTAAAATACATCTGAATAGTTAATACACTTAGGCTGAAATCCTATGCTCTGGGGAAAACTTCTATTAAACACAATGGGGTTTTCTATTGATTAGATATGTAATAAGCTGGCATTGTAACTGTGCAATACTTGATTTATCTATAACAGTTTTCAAACTGTGATGGGGCGTTCCAGAAGTTTATGTGTCAGATAAGCTTAACTTAAAACAAAGCTTGTCCAAAATCTTCCCCCTGTGGTCTAAAGCTGCCAAAGGTATGATCTAGCACATCTTCCTAATTGTTAATATTAGGGGATCATGAAATCCAACCAGCTTCACCAGAATTCCAAGTAAGCAGCAAGTATCCTATACAACAGAAGTCTGCAATCTTTCTATCATCAGAGCTTAGTTGAGAAAGCTGAAAATTACAGATATCCATCAGTCAGCAAAATGGTAGATGGAGGAAGAGTTCGGTAGACAATTACTATCATTTTCTCTTGTATTATTTCTCCCCCCATCCCCACATGTATTTTCTCATCTCCTTTCCTTTTGTCTTCTCCTTCCAACACTCGACTTGTACCCTATTTCCTTCCTGCAATTTTCTTCATTCCTCCTCCCTGCTCCTTTTACACTGTGTGACATAATGATTAGAGTGTTGGACTACGACCTGGGAATCCAGGGTTCAAATCTCCACATGGTCATAAGGCTCATCTTAGCTTAAGCTATCTTACAGGGTTGTTGTAGGAATTCATTGAAGAGGGGAAGAACCATGTACACCACCTCGAGCTCCCTTGGAGAAGGGGGTGGGATGTAAATGGAATAAAATAAATAAAAACAAATAAGTGCCCTACTGTCAATCTTATCAGTATGAAAAAAGAACTATTTTATTCTACAATGAAATGAAAGAGTATATAATTTCTACACAGAGCCATGTGTAGGAAAATGTGTAGGAAAAGAGCTTATTTTTACACTACATTTCACTAAAGGTTGTTGGGGAAAGACATATATATAGCAAGAGCCAATGCTTCTTTTCTGGTGGTACAAATTGGTATGTCGTACTGGCACTTTCCCCCCTTCTGGCTTCTTGCCATAATTATAAGAAACCACCCAAGGAGGAAAAGGCAACAAACAAATCATAAATTCTGTGAAGCCTTTTCAAAACCCAGAGCTGCAGAAGCAAGAGAAGGAGGCAAGACCTGATGAGAAGGAAGGAGGTGGCAGCAGCAGCAGCAGAGGAAAAAGCTCCTGGGCACCTTGAGACAGGGCACAGCCAGCAGCAGTAGCATTGTAGCTGAAAGAAGCTGCTTGGGATGGCTGCTGAGGAGGCAGCTATGAGGGTCACTTGGTCCAGGAAGCCTCGTCTTCTCCAAGTGGGAAGAATCTCTCCCCAATCTCACTCCTTAATAGAGGGCTGCTCCCAACTCTCCTCCCATCTCTTGTAAGTGGCTACTAAACAGAGGTAGGGAAAAGTGGATGGCTGCCACGGGATGATCTATGTGCTCCGCTCCCCTCTCCAGCAGGAAAGTGGTGCATACCTCACTGCATTCTTTAGGCATGAGGAGTCCCGTGCAAGCACGGTAACAGCCCACCATGGAAGGGGGCATGGGGCCGGGGGCGCTGTGGCGGTGAGGGGGGCAGTACTGGAACCTTTTTTTCTAGAAAAAAAGCACTGGCAAGAGTTACTGTATTTTCGCCCTATAGGACGCACTTTTTCCCCTCCAAAAATGAAGGGGAAATGTGTGTGCGTCCTATGGGGCGAATGCAGGCTTTTGCTGAAGCCTGGAGAGCGAGAGGGGTCGGTGTGCACCAACCCCTCTCGCTCTCCAGGCTTCAGGAGAGCCCCAGCGCCAGCCCGACAAGCTCGGGGGTCAGCAGGGAGGCGCAGCACGCCATCCCGCTGTGGTTTAGAGGCTGATGGCGGGGAGACACGTGCTTCTCCCCGCCGCCAGCCCCGCAAGCTCCGGGGACAGCGGGGCGGCGCAGTGTGCCTTCCCGCTGCCCCCAGACCTGGTCTGAAGGCTGGCGGTGGGGAGAAGAGCGCTTCTCCCTGCTGCCGGCCCCACAAGCGCCTGGGGGCGAAATATTTTTTTTTTCTTTATTCCCCCCCCTCAAAAAAACTAGGTGCGTCCTATGGGCCGGTGCGTCCTATGGGGCGAAAAATACGGTGTATATATAGCTAGATAGATATATACTAACAGTTCCTGTACTAAGAGGTAGTCTCTAGACTAGGGCTGGGTGATATCTGATTTTCAACATTGTGATATATCACCAGCTAAACAATGCAATATAGCAATATATTATGATATCTGAAACACAGAACTATATAGGGTGGCCATGAAGGTCTGGCATGTGGATGGCCAAAGGAGCAGCCATGGAGATCTGCAGGAGGGGGGGTTGGCGATGGGGCTTGGGAGAGAAGGAGCAGGCAGTCTTGGATGTTGTGCAGGTGGGTGGTGGGGGAGATGGGGCATACAGAAGAAGCAGCAGGCAGTCTTGGATGTTGCATCAGCCGACAGAGAAAGAGAACTCCGCAGCTATCACAAGATGCTGAGATCAAAACTTTTCTGTCTTCGGCTGAGACAAACCACTGTGAAGCAGCCAGAGCAGGGAGAGGGAACACCGCTGTTATCACAAGGCTGGACACAGTTATTGCAAGTTGCTGGGGCTGAATCTGTTCTGTCCTCAGCTGAGACTTATTGCAAGGTGCCGAGGCTGAAATTGTTCTGCCTTTGGCTGAGACAAACCACGCACAGGGACAGGACTACTCAAATTGCTCACAATTATACTGCCCTCTGGTGTTTTGAATGATATATTGTCAAATTTGACCAAATATAGGTCAAATTTAATGAACCAGTTATCGTGATGCATTGAACGATATAGCAATAAATCGCACATAGCTGTAAGATCTAATCTTTAAAACAGCATTCTGGGGGGGGGGGGTTCAGCATGGTTACCTGTTAAAAACACATAATGAAAATCCTCTAAGGGGTTTACTAGAAAATGCTTAGTAATGAACTAGGTCTCATGACCAAATGTTTACATTTGATCTAATTTCTTTACAATCTGTGCAAAGATAGTTTTACTCCAGGAAATTTACTAGCATAGCTTCGGCAGATGACAAATAATATGCACATAACATTATTCCAAATCACTGTGTAGGGGCAAATGTACTGTTAAAACAATGCAAAATCTTTAACTAAAAGAGAATCAATATCTTAATCAGGGTCAATAATGACTTACACTCAAAGCAAAACCTGAGGCAAATTTCAAAGTTTCTGTTCAAAACAAAACATGCATAGAATTTTACCCAAAAGGTGAGAATAGCAAGATTTGTCGGGATTTGCTCACCCCCAATATCCACTTGTAATTTGAAGACCCTTGCATTCCCATTTATATCTAGTGCACAAAGCTCTTTCATAATTAGCATCCACATGACAACACTAATAACTAGCTGAGGGCAATAAAATTTGGTTTATTCAGGGAGAAGATAGGGAGGAAGAATTATCAATACTCCACTAAACCAATCAGTGTTTTGACAGAACAGCAGCATAATACAGTGGTGCCCCGCAAGACGAATGCCTCGCAAGACGGAAAAACCGCTAGACGAAAGGGTTTTCCGTTTTGAAGTTGCTTCGCAGGACAAATTCCCCTATGGGCTTGCTTCGCAAGACGAAAATACCTTGCGAGTCTAGAAATTGTTTTTTCGCGTTTCCCCCTTTATCTAATCTGCTAAGCCTTTAATAGCCTTTAATAGCCTTTTAGCAGCTAATCCCCTAAGCCTTTAAGCCTTTAATAGCCGCTAAACAGCTGATAGCGCTAATAGCGCTAATCCGTCAATGGGCTTGCTTCGCAAGACGAAAAAACCGCTAGACGAAGACTCTTGCGGAACGGATTAATTTCGTCTTGCGAGGCACCACTGTACTTTATCACAAACTGGGGAAAGCATGTTTAAAAAGATGCAAGCAACATTTCCCAGTGGTTCCCCTGCAATGCTCACTCCCAAGTTATATTTAATTATCAATATTGCTTTACTAGTGCCTTTTTACCTTCAGGTTAAATCCAAATTTTCCATCTTCATCTGGCAAAATGCGTATCAAAAGCAAGTCTCCATCAATAACTTCATTCTGGAAGACAAGGAAAAGAGGCTTTTTACCTGTGAAACATGTTAAGTACCACCTCAGTTGGATGACTTGGATAATCTTCATTAAACTACCTATCATAAACTACTTATCATGAGAAATTTTATCATGATAAACTACCTATCATGAGAAATTTTTGCAAACTGGGCATCCCCTCCACATAGATTTGTCCATTTCAAAGGAGCTATCTAGCCAAAGAACTATCTAGAACTATCTAGCCAAAGTCTGAAACTCTATGATAAGGCTAATTTTGCCCCTCTCTCTTAAAAAGATAATAATCCACAAGCAAACAAGGCAATTGACAAGTCAACACAAATGTACAGAGTATAAATACAACCATCAGTGTAATGGAACATACAATTCACATCCAGACACCCTCCAACTTCTCAATACATATTTACAAATAATTTTTAAAAGCTTACTGTACAGATACACACCTCTTCTACAAAATGACCAGGATGGGGGCTGGGTTCCTTAGGATTGGAATTGATGTATGAAAGAAATGGCTGCTTGTCAACTGAAAAGGTATCCTGTTCTGTCTCACCTACACTGCTGTTTAAGCTTATCAGGAAGTGCCAGTTTCATCTTGTTTATCATACCTTATCAAAGTAGTACTGATTGGAGTCATCCATTAAAAGTCCTTTTGAAACATTTTCATTTGTTTCTAAAGACTGTTGATCTTTTCCAGTCAAAGGATGAGACCCTGAAAGGTTGCCAACTCCATTGAGAGTCTGAGACAAAACGTTCTGTGTTGAATTATTTTCCAATATGTTCCTTCATTAAAAAAACAAAACAAGTTAAACATTATTAGCCAGACCACACTATTTAGTGTAAGCCAAGAATTTTTATGCAAAATGATTTCTTCTTCTGAATATAAGGATTTCTTTTTGACAAGCCAGTTGTGGGATTTTTTTTTTCAGGATTTCAAATTTTTCATTTACTTTAGCTCACTATATTCCAGCCCCACACTTTAAGATACAAGAAGAACATAATAAATATTCACATTTTCACTAGCAATATCAGCTCAAGACTCAGAAAGTTTTTCTGGTGCAGCAAAAATTAATATGTTAATAAAATATTTTATATACACACATGCTCAAATGTAACACTAAGTCAGACTTAAACTATGGTTTACCAGGGACCAGCTGAAATTGCACCCACCCCCTCCTCCCTTTCCTGTCTTGGAGGTGTGAGCATCAAACAGACTACAATAGCAAGCCAAAAATAAACCAGGGCTTATTTCGAGAGAAACAAATCAGCAACACTAGTTTATGAATGAATAAATAATACATGTTATTATGTTTTCTGGGATTTAACTTGATTAGAATATCTTAAAATTTCAGCTACAAGAGGAATTTGTGACACTGTTGGAAAACTCACTTTGGTGATTCCTGTTCTGATGATCTGCTGAAGAAAACACACACAAGCAAAGGATAATTAAACAAAATGTTTCATAACAAAGATTTTAAGCAGTAGAGAAATGGTGTATTCAAAAACTAAGTATCAAAAGCTCATCAGTTTGATTTTATGCAGAAAGCAAAACTTGACAAGACGCTTTCTTCTATGAGACTAAAAATTATTCAGGCGTATACAGTGGTACCTCGGTTTAAGTACTTAATTCGTTCTGGAGGTCTGTACTTAACCTGAAACTGTTCTTAACCTGAAGCACCACTTTAGCTAATGGGGCCTCCTGCTGCTGCCGCACCGCTGGAGAGCCTGATTTCTATTCTTATCCTGAAGCAAAGTTCTTAACCTGAAGCACTATTTCTGGATTAGCGAAGTCTGTAACCTGAAGTGTATGTAACCTGAAGCGTATGTAACCCGAGGTACCACTGTAGAACAAACTGCATTGGTACTCTACAAAATCATTTAATCAACGCTCATTTGTCTCTCTAGAGTCACTGTTTCAAAATCTAGGCGAATTACATGTTCCATTTTAAAAACTGTAACTGTTGCAGAAAACATATACAGTACATTCTTAAAAGGATGCAAGGAAAATAACTAGTTTATCAAAATTCACTCATACACTGTTCTTATGCCCTTGAAGAAACGAAGAAAATATTTGTTCACTCACACTGCCATCTGGGTCTATTAGTTTCATGAACCCTAAAGGCTGATTTGGAAGTGAACAACAGATAGAAAAGGCAGAAATGGGAATGACATATGCCTTCTGTTTCCCCTGCTTGTTTATATAATAGGGGTATGAACTGGGCCCAAGATTTCCATCATTCCCTGAGTTCCAACCCCACCCCAAATGTTATGCATCATTTGATGAGTGTTTCATGCAATATTTGGATCCTATGAATCCTCAAATATCTTTATACAAAAATTTATTTTCAGTATAAGATTTAACTTTCTATGGTACAGATTTTGCATTTTTAAACTAAGAACATGCAGCTTATATGCTGCTTAAGTCATTGAGCATTTCACTGCATGCATAGCATATATGTGAATGCAAAAAAGCAAAGAAACCAACAGTACAGTAGGGTGGAACTGCTTTGTGGTGTTTCCGGTGCTATTTAGATGGTAATTTCCAGAGCGTGCTGCTTGGCGAGTGCTCTTTGGTCCCATGGAATCTTCAGTGCGCGTTTCCTCAGAGTTCGATTTTAACCCCTGTGCTGTTTAACATCTACAGTGGTACCTCTGGATACGCACACCTCTGGTTGCGTATCCTTCAGGATGCGAACGCGGCAAACCCAGAAGTATTTTTGCAGGTTTCACCGAGCGTGCATGTGCAAAAGTGCTCTACCGCGCCACGCACATGCACAGAAGAGGCACCTCCAGTTGTGAATTCCTCAGGATCTGACTGGAGCTCTGGAACAGATCCTGTGCGCAACCGGAGGTACCACTGTACATGAAATCACTGAGTGGGGTTATCCAGAGGTTTGGAGTACATTGTCACACTGATGACACATAGCTCTAAGTCTCCTTTACATCTGCAGGTGAGGCAGTGGATGTGCTGGACCACTGTCTTGCTTGGATGAGTAAGGGACTGGATGGGAGCCAACAAACTGTAGCTCACTCTACGTAAGACTAAGGCACTGTTAGTGGATGGTTCCCGAGAGCAGATGAATGGGAGGCTGCTTGCTCTTGAAGGAGCTACACTCCCTCTGAAGGAGCAGGTACTTCTTGGGGCTACTTCTGGATCTTCCGCTGTCACTTGAGGCTCAGTTGGCCTCAGTGCCTTCCATCAACTTCGGCTGGTGGCCCAGCTGCACCCTTATCTGGACAAGAATAGCCTAACTTCTGTTTATGCTGTGGTATCCTCCAGGTTTGATTACTGCAAAGTGTTACACATAAGGAAGCCAATGGAGATGGTTCAGAAACTTCAGCTGGTGCAGAAATCAGAGACCAGGTTGCTCACTGTGGCAAGGTGGTTTGAGCATATTACTCCAATTCTGGACTGACTGCACTGATTGCCAATCAGTTTCCGTGCCCAATTCAAAGCACTAGGTTTGACCTATAAAGCCTTAAATGGCTCAGGACAACAATATCTCAAGGACCGCCTCTCTCCATATGAATCAACCCAGACCCTGTTATCATCACCCGAGGCCCTTTCTTTGAGTGCCTCCTCGATGAGATGTCTGGCAACATGAAAACAGGCCTTTTCTGTGGTGGCTCCATTTGTGGAAGGCTCTCTGTAGGGAGGCTTGCCTGGCGTTCCCCTTCAACCAGGCCTTCGGCTGATTGACATCCTATCCTTTTAAATGTGTTTGTGAGGATATTGGTTTATTTTGTGCTTGTTCTTGTTTTTTTGTATTTTTTTATCTTTTATTTTTATGCTGTGAACCATCCTGAGTCCTTCAGATGAAGGGCAGTATACAGATTTAATTTAAAAAAATGCATTAGTGATGTCTCTAATTAGGAATTTGGTACTTCTGACTAAACACTCAGGGTTATGGTATCAGTCTTCGTTACTAGCATTATTCTTTTACTACTGAAATATTTAATATGAAATATCTTCTTAATTTTGTTGTTTACCAATTATCAGTGCAGAGTAGCACTGAAATCACTGTTTGTAGAGGTTATTTACCTTCTCCATGGGCTGCGACTCTGGGACAACTCTGAATCACTATCCTTGGAAGCTGGGGAAACTTTGTAGGTGTAAAACACATCTTCTGTTTCAGTTATATAGGAAATCTCATTTGCAAGGTTATCTACAGATGAGTGTCGTGGTTTACGAATCTCATGACGTAATCTAGGACTTCGCCTTAAAAGAGGAAGGATTCAGAAGTTAGTTGTGATAGTATCTTTCTTAAACTTTTTTTAAATATGAGAAGCTTAATATATTATAACACACACTCAGAGGCTACAATTATTTCATCACTTGTTTAATAATATTTTTAAATTCAAAGCCCATTTATTCCAAGTAGACATGAGCTATAACATGCAGAACGGACCACAGACAAAACCTATATAGAAGAAATGTGTTTACTCATTAATAAATGCTATTGTGTTCAATGAGGCTTACACTCAGATTAGCATACACAGAATTGCAATCTAAACACAATTTTCTACTTTTAAGTAGAAAAACAGAATGTGAAATTCTGTTTAACTTCAAGCAAGTATCACAACTACTTAGGATAGGTTCCTCCTTCTAGAGTCAGGAAGTCAGTCTTTATATTTTAGAATTGTGGGAGAAAGAACCCCTCCACTACTTCCTTGCATATTGAAGCTGTTGAATCAAAAGCCATCTCCAACAACCAAGAACTGACTATTGGAAATAATTGCAGTAACATTTTGAAATATACCGGTAGCTATTTTGAATCTTTATTATTCATCTTTAAGAGAGATCTTAATCACATCAAAATTAAATTTTGACACAAATAAAACTTTGCCTTGTGCTCATGTCCCCTCCCATTTTATGGAAGATAAAAAGATAATTCTTACCAGTTTGGGGTAACTGGAGGAGACCGAGAAGGAAGACTTTTGGTCTCTAGGTGTTCAGCTGACAAAGATCTCCTCATAGCTGCATTCCAAATCATACCACCTATTACTTTTTTGCAGTAATGATTGTTAGAAGATCTGAAATAAAACAACATACTTTAGACAAAGTACTTTGTGCATAATAAATCTTTGTTTTAGGTGCAGAAAGAGGAAATTCTTACTGGAAATTCATGTTCTCTAAACTCCCAGAGGACATTTTAATTCTTTAGGAAGCTCTCTGCCCTTAGCTCATTGAGCAGAGCCAATGACTTGTACTGCCTCCTCCACAGAGAAGGATGCCTCTGCCCTCCCAGATCAGACTAGAAAAACAGAAAGATCCCTTCCACTTAAAACTATATCTCTATAAAAATTTATTGAAATCATTAGAAATCAGCACTGCCACAGAAACATCCAGCAGCAGAACTTTGATGATGCTTTGTGGAAGCAAGCAGAGCTGTATTTAACCAAGCAATTAAGCAGATTGCCTCTAGCTCAGGGGTCGGCAGCCTAAGGCCCATGGGCCAGAAGCGGCCCACAGAGGCCGTTTAACCGGCCCACAAGCTGCCCCCGAACCAAGCCGCCTGCTCGGCGAGTCCCCATGCACTGCGCTAAACTGGCACAGCGTGGTGCAGCAACTCTCTTCTGTGGCTCAGAAAATCGCTTCTGTGCATGCCCAGATACTGGAAATCGCGTCTGCGCATGTCTGCTTCTGTGCAGGTGCGATTTCCGGCCCACGGACATGCGCAGACGCGATTTTCGGCGTTGCACTGCGCCGGTCCGGCCCACGGAGGATCTCCGCAGCAGTGATCCGGCCCATGCCTGGTAAGCCTTGCTGATGTCCCAACTGGCCTTTCAAATCCTGATGAAGGACTCAGGAAAATGTACTTTGTTAAGAGGTGCCCTGCACATTCTTTTGGATGTTGACAGACTTTGTACTTTTCCTTCCAGCTTGTTCTCCATGAGCAGCAGCATGCAACATGTCTTGGATAGAATGACTGGAAACAGCCTGGATGGAAAGTAACCTGTCAATGTCTGCCAACTCTCCTTTCAAAAGCTAATCCTCCTCTCTGTGATCAGACTCCAGAGAAGTTTGTGACCTGGCTTGTGGTAGCTGGGAAACAATATTATTTATACTAAAGAGAATTCTCACCAGCACCAGAACTAGGAATCACTACTGTATTGGCCAAACTGAGGTTTATAACAAGGAAAACTACGAACTCCGCAGCTTCTGGGGAACTGAGTAAAGAGAGAAAAGAAGAAAAATCTAGTTCACACTCTGAAGAGCAAGGCATTAAACAGAAGTTCTTTAGAATGCTGCTGCTGTGGAAGTCAAAAAGTTGCCAGAGAGAAAGTGGGAGCTACATCCCTTTACTGCATGCACTCAGAAGGGGGACAGGCTTCCCTTCAAAATGCTCATCTTTCTGTCAAAAGTTCTGATTGCAGCTCTACAAGAGAACAGAATCTGTAATGCGGAACTACACACAGAACATGAAGAACATCAAGTTTCATTAAACTAGTTGTCGGACACATGCCAAATATAGTCCAGGCTAGCCCTTGCTGTGTTCCACACTGGTAGTTATTTTAAAGTTCATTTCTTTGTTTCCTTAGAATTGACCCATTCCAATTTTAACAGACTCCCCTGGCTTCCCTGTGGGACAATTTCCAGGCTTCTAGTGATGTGCTGGGAAGTCAACCTGAAATTTACAAAATCAGTCTTAAATTATTCAGAAACTGTTTAAGTATTATATATGTAAAGGGGTTTCAGAATTACATTCAGAAGTATTCTGTTTAAGAGCTCATACTCACTTGGTTGGTGTTCTAGAACTCGTGGTCCAATAATGGGAAAGTAACTTTTCATGAGGTAGCATCTTCTTTGCCTGGAAAAATGTGTGAAGCTCCACACAAGATTTCCACAGGTTTTTGCATGCTCGGTAGTTTAGCATATTGAAGGCAACTATGTGTTCCCTGGATTCATTCTGCAACAATAAAATGTGTATCAGAATTATTCTAATCAATAATTAGAATATGTATAAAGTATTGCTGTAAGAGGTTACCACAGTAAAGAGATTACCACAGGACAGACAACAGAAGTTAGGCTATCCCTGTCCAGATAGGGGCACAGCTGGGCCACCAGCTGAAGCTGATAGAAGTCACCTGTGCCACTGAGGCCACCTGAGCTTCAGAAATACCCCCAAGCTACATACCTACTCCTTCAAAGGGAGTATACCTCCATCAAGAGCAGACACCCTCCCATCCACTCAGTCTAGAGAAGCAAATACTCTCTTATCTGGACTGAGCTTCAGTTTGTTGGCTCTCATCCCTTGGCCTTGTGAGCTTACTGGAGCAGCTGGTTAGCCTCTGATGAAGTTACATAAAGTTTGGGCGATCCTGGGGACTACTGTCTTATAAGAATTTTATATACAAGGCAAGACCAATTTGTAAATGTTAACACTGAAACGGAAATATATGATGTATTTTCAGCTTTGACTTAAAGTAGAATTTACAGATGCAAATACAGATGTATGGTTACATGTTCCCAGTGCTTAGCAGTACTGGGTAATAGCTGCTTTCCACATGTACAGACTGTGGGGGTAGTTCCAAATAAGCTGTACTACAAATGTTGCAATTCTACCTTTTGCTGCAAGATGGCCTCATTATACTGTTTGCAACAGAAAAACAATTCTGCCAACATATATCTGTGTCAATATTGTCAGATTTGTACAAGCTTTTGTATGTACATATACAAAATGTATATATTTCAATAGGTTCCAAATATTCTCCCAGCTCTCCCCTTCCCCTTTCCATGGATTGCCCTGAGCGCTTTACAATGATTTGAGGTAGAGGGCCAGAAAAATTGGACAGAGGAAAATGGTAGCAAACTCTTCTGAACAATTATAGCTTGGTCTGCCGAAGGAAGTACTGAAATAAAATGAACATGGACAGATTGAATAAAACTGCAGAAATTATAAGTTTATTTTTTTGTAAGGAGCAAAGGAAGAGTTATTGAACCCATCAATCAATGAGACAGCAAACAATGCTTAAGGTTAGCATTCTTCACTATGAAGAAATCTGATCCACCTGCCACTTTGTAGGACATGCCATATTGGCTTTAATTTAAAGCTGCTTTTGTAACGCTTTTCTACAAAGCAGAAATCTGCAGCATGATTACCAGTAGACACCAGACACTTACTTGTAAAAGAAAATATGTATTTGGCTACAAATCTCTAGGGACATCAGCAGAGAATTTGTATGGATCAGATTTAGAAATAACCCACATGAAAAATTTCTAAAGTGTTTACTGCTATATTCCACATGCTTTCACTCTAAGGGCTTCTCCAGATATTCTTTTCATTGCACATCCTTAATGATGTGTGCTCTTGATTCTATGGGGGCAGCTATACGTAATTCCACTTTATATAAATATGTGTTGGAGGCAGTGTTTCATACTGCTTCATTTCCAATCAATGCATATCCTGCAGTAGCCTGCTGAAATTGCATAACTTTTCATGCCACAAATATATGGGGGAGTGAGGGATACTGGCCGGCTTTTGTTATGCTATAGGCCCCTATAGCCCTTCAGCACAGCAATACTGCAGTAGCATTAGGGAAGCATTGGACAACCACCATTAAAGCAGAATAAATCAGCTGTCAATGAACAATTATTATGTCAATAATGTTAACACTGTCTGACCACCAAGCTTAGGGAGTCAGGAAACTTATTTGGCCTAAGTCGGTACAAAAATCAAACCAGAGCCTTCCAACCAAATTCTGCAAGTCCACTCTGCCCTCTAGGCTTCAGGCAGTTACACTATACAGAAGCAGTTAACCAAGAAGTCCAAAACACTGCAATTAGGGACTCAGGATTTCCAGAAAAGAGCACACCAAATTTAAGTGAGGTATTTTATTTACAGTGCATAAAAATACAAGTCAGAATAAAACAACAAACCTAGCTGATCTAGCCTGCAAGGTACATGGAGCCACACAACAGGAACAAACAGCACAGTGTGAAGCATAGAATAAAGGAATAACCCAAGAAACTGGCCCAGCAATTGACCCAGAGATTCCCAGCTAATTAGAAGCTCTGATAGCTAGAACCTTGAATTCATGTGTTCCCACAGAGGCACAGTTGCTGTTAATTAAGCAGACCACCATTCTGACTTGATCAAATTAATGATCAGATCTCATTACATCTTTTCTTTGAATTAAAAAGCAGGTGCAGGGCACAGGGTAGGAAGAAAATCTCTGATCAAGTATTCCGTCCAAACATCAATCACCTCTACAGCAATTAGCTTCACATATCATCAATGTATTATGAAATATACACTATAAGAAGGATCTCTGTACACCTTGTTTTCCAACTCATAGACATGGCCTTTAATTCATTGCTTCATCTTGTGGCAAGATTGGAGGTTAATTGTAAAAAAGTCTAGGGGTGGGGTGACTGGGGGAAACAAACTATACTCACATGTTTCTGTCGCTGCTGGATAAAGAACTTCTTTCGTTTAAACGAAATTTTTATTATGTTCACCCTAAAAAGGAACAAGTTATACCATATCATACTCTAAAAACATAACACAATCAAAACAAACATTGATAGAAAATACGGGTACAATAATGCACATCAGACTCAATGCTTGGATTGTAAAGTAAGTTAACTTAGAAGGTTCACATAAGGGAAGTTTCCTTTCTCCCCTTCCCTCTCACGCCTTTCTGGAGAATCGAGAGGCCCTCCTGAACCATGTGGGATGTTGCTGGGGAAGGGGAAATTACCTCCACCCCGGTCAGCAGCCCCACACCTTGGCACACTATTCAGAAGGGCTCCATTATATCTGAAACAGGAACTAAAATCTAAGTAAGTAGCTATAATTAACTAAAACATTCTCTTTTCTCAGAAAATCATTATCACTACCATAAGCTTGAAGCAAAATTTGAAATGAAAGGGAGAGCCTACATTCAAAAGTGCTTTCCTGTGCAATCCACTCAACCAATATACTTACAATTTGTAGGTAAGCAATAAAATTGTTAGTTACTTTCAAATTTTGCATGGAAATAAAATAGAGGTAATTACACACTGAAGGTATTGGGTGCAGCCCACAATTTCACAACAAAAACAATTGTTTCTAGGAAACAGGATTGGATTGGATTGCACAATTCCTGACAAGACTCCTACGCTCTGCTCTAACAAGCCGCATCCATCAAAACCAGCTGACAATACTGTCAAGCAAGCTTGGACTACATGCCCATCAAAAGACAGACCTGAGTCTAGGAACACCCATTCTTTGCATTCCTCAATCTAAAAGGTTGCTGTGCACATCCATGGGTTACAGGTGTGGCACATTCCATTATAATGGGCTGTCCACAGAAGTACTAACAAGCTTCCTATTGCAATCAATATGAATGCCTGAGGAATTTGGTATTTGTGAATTCCAATGCAAACTGACCTGATCTGCACGCTGTAGATGACATGCAGATTAAAATTATACTTTGGATTTTGCACTTCTCTGAATTTTGTGGCACACTTTTATTTTGTGATAATAAATTTTTTTTAAAATCACAGATTAATGGGAAAGAATTGGTTTATGAATGAACACAGAGAAAAGTGACATGGAACCCCCGAGTCGTCCGCGATTGGACGGGGTCCCTTTACCCTTTATGTACCCCAGCAATCATGATTTTTTCTGTTCTTGCAACTGGTAAGGCTTTTTATTTATTTTATTTCAAAATTAATAATTTCAGTCCCGACTGAACATTTCCCCCTCAACTTTTGTCAAGGGCAGATATTTAAGCATTTTATTTACAGCTGATTTGATGTTTTGTTTTTTAATGTCCCTTAATCTGGTTTGAATATTGTGATATATATAAAGCTCACTTGAATTATACAAGAGTTTCAAGTCAATAACATTAGATCTAACACAAGAACTATTTGCTCCAGACGTATCAAAGTGGATGTATCTTCTCCAAATTGATTTGGGGTTTTGCAGAACACCTTCAAGGTTTAATGTGAGTCAGCAATTACTTGGGGTCTGGTTCAGAAATTATCTCCCTTCCTGCTGTCAAAATAAATGTATCTGGGGGAAAACGAAAGCAAGCCGTAAGTTCTAACACTGATTTTGTTTCTCAGAGTCACCAAGTTTCAATGTTCAAACAATACTGGATTCCCAGTTCAGTTAGTCACTGCTGTCTGTGGGGACAAGAACGATGGAGAAGCACCTGAGATCAAAAACCCAACTCCTGATTTCTCTCTAGGTATAATAGGGGAAAATATATAACCTGAACAAAAGTATTAAGTAATAATGATATTAAAGAGAATGCCTGAGCATGTGCAGAGCAGCTCAGCTCAGAAACTAACAATAGGAAGGGGCGTAGCTCAGTGGTAAACAACAACCTTTGCATGCACAAGATCCTGAACACAGACAGTAGCATATCCAACTAAAAATGATTTCAGATAGTGAGGCTGATAAAGATGTCACAGTAGAAAATAAATGAGACTAGATAGACCAGTGATGTGACTCAGTAAGAAGCAACTTCACATGTAACCATGGCTCAGTTCCACACACCAAGCATTAGAGGGCTGGATTTCTAAATAGACTTCAATCTCAACACCCTCCATCTTCAGTAGGGGTCTTTATGGGTATTATTTAAAAATGAGAGATTTGTTATTTTCATGTTCAGTCTTAAAACTTTATACACCCACCCATACCCCAAGTATCTTACCAAGGATAGAAGCTTGTGCAAATGAGTTTCCTATATACAGCAATACCTCCTGAAGCAATTCCAATCATAAGGTCAAGATTATGAAGATCCTAAAAATAAGAACCACAGAAAAAACTGGTAAATTAAAGCACTAAGAATCCTATTCTACAAATGGATACATGGAAGTTTGACTTTGAATTTCTCTCTGTGTGATGGGGGATAAAGAACTGGATGTCTCACATAAAAAGGAGCTGACCAATTTCTGTATTTGGGAGAAACAACCCAGACATGCTTAATTAAAACACACAAATACCAGATATGCCAGATTTTTGCATGCCGTCATTACTGTAAGTGCATGCATTGTAGCTTAGTTGTCAGTGGGTGCTGGTTATGATGCCATTTACTGGAGCTGAAATCCAAAGAAATGGATGACTATGTCTGCATATGGAAGGAAAGTTAAAAGTTGGTGTTTCCTCAAACAGCAATTCTTCACCACACAGCAACCCCCCATTTAAAACTGAAAGGACTTTCAAAAACAGTTGGCAATATGGTGAGGACTGGGAGGGTGTGTTTCCCCAGAAACATGCATACATACACACACATCACAAAAATCCTGCTGAGCACCCAATTCCAAGGCAGCCCATACTATGCAAGTAAACATTTCAGTCTAAAACTATAGCTTATCTGAAGCTTTCTATAGAAGCAACTGACTTATGCCACTGAGAATGCTTCTTGCAATGTCAATTATAAAAAAAAGGCAGAAGAATATATTAAAATCTCAGTTGAGAATTGGCAATATTGCAAGTTTTTCTCAAATCCATATTTTTAACATGGTTAAAAGTAAAGGACAACAAGTCCTGCTTAAGAAACTAAGTTATAAAGATGCAAATTACTTAATGGTAATGTCCCCATAGGTGTATAAGAAATAGAAGTTTTTTATGCTTAGCTGCTTTAGGTGCAAAAAAAGAGCATTTTCCTCTTACTTAGCTATTTTAATATTAAGGTATGTATGAATTTTTTTAAAAAAAAAGTTTAAGTACAAGTTGCTCTAAATATAAAAAAGAACTGTAAACATACTCTACCACTGTGTAATTCTACTCCATAGAATTCAAGTGTTCTTGCTATATTAATGTAGCAGGACTCTGCTTCTGACTGACTGAGGCCCCTAGGGGAAAAACCAATAAGGTATTAAAGGCAATAAAATCCTAATTGGAAAGTAATTTATCTATAACAGAAACATTAAGTACCGTTATGAAAATAAATTCAAGGTACACATTCCAAGAAAAATCTGAACTCTTTTTCCACATTTCACTCACGGGGTAATCTCATGATGGATTCGCCTACAGTCATTATGTAGAAATACATCTGCAGTTTAGGTTTCTATTACTGTGGGCAGATCTATGTCCCTCCAAAAAGCAAAGGACTTGCTTCCCATATAAGGAAACTGAGTGTTAGTATTGTCATACAATGAGAAGCAGAAATAGAGCAGTAAATTAGCAGCCCAAACTTTTAGGAAAACTCCAGATTTTCAGAGTTTTTGGTACGTATTCTCTCCAGTGTATAAGTAGAACCAATGTTACTTAATAGTCATCAGTTCACCCAGCACATCTGGGTATCTCATGCATACAGGTTTGGGGCTGCCAAATTCCTAAAAAATATATAAATCCCCACATTTGGAACCATTTTTATTAATGTGTCTTATAGTCCAAGAACTAAGATATCTTTGCCAATTACTGGGAGCCTACAGTATGAAGTCTGAATATACAATATGCTGTGAATTAATAATTTGAATCACATTTAAATTCTATACTTCATGCAAATTATCCATTTATGTAAATATCACAATACAGTGGTACCTCGGGTTAAGAACTTAATTCATTCTGGAAGTCTGTTCTTAACCTGAAACTGTTCTTAATCTGAAGCACCACTTTAGCTAATGGGGCCTCCTGCTGCTGCGCCGCCGGAGCACGATTTCTGTTCTCATCCTGAAGCAAAGTTCTTAACCCGAGGTAATATTTCTGGGTTAGTGGAGTCTGTAACCTGAAGCGTATGTAACCCAAGGTACCACTGTATATATTACTATTTCAGAAAACAATACCTGTGTTGTTCATGCAGCGATTCAACTTTGGTTGTGAAATCTTGATTTTGCTCTGGAATAAAGCAATACTCTGAAAGGTATCCTGGAAGATGGGTGGAACCATTGTAGTCTCCAAGCTGAGCTTTTTTGGGATAGGTGGATGGGTGGCGGGATGAAAAATAAAAGAACACACATGATAATTGTTTTCTTAATGCAAATGCAAAGGTGCTTAACAAAATCTTACTCTACACAAATGGCACAATGAATAATGTCACGTAACTCCTACAGAAGTTCCTAATATTGCTCCACTTTCTTCCATTGAGATATGTGAGAAAATACAGCCAGGAATAGCATGCCAACGCAATACTTGGTTCAAGATGAATAAGGGTCAGAGACAGGAAGTATACCTAAAATCAAAGGTAATGAACAGTCCTAAATGCAAACAAAGAGCAGTGATTTTATGGATTGGCAGACACCCATTCCTAAGTAAGAGTCATAGATTCAACAGTTTAAGCCCTCTATTATTTTACCTAGTTTAATAAAATGTTAATTTTCGCTATTTCATAAAATCAGCCTTTTCAATGTATATTTTATATAAAAATGCTTAATACCTTTGATGATAAAGCAGCATACAAATTATGTTAAACTGAATTTAAATTAACTGAATTTAAAAGTTGCTTTTAAAATTGAACTCAAAAGAGCCCTATCATTAGGAATTAAAAACCTAGTTCAATCTGATGCTGGTCCTAAATTTCCACAGAATATCCAGTTGTTTATAGTAATCCTCTATGTCACAGATCTGTAAAGTTCCCACCATGAAACGATCAAACCAGTTGAGATCCCACTCATATTTAGGATTGGAGGTTCCTTCTGGCTTTAAAACCAGTTGAGAATTATTCTGCTTTGATTGTCAAATACAGGAAGTATCATGTTTTAAGACAACTGGAGCAAGCAGGGAGAAAATTATGGAGCCAAAACATGTGAAACTGAGAAGAGGACATTCTGTATTCCCCCTGCGCTTTGAAAAAGAAGGTACAGTAAACCCACAACATATTTGGGGGATATGTTCCAGGGATGATGCCTGAAGCCATAATCACATACAGTGGTACCTCGGTTTACATACGCTTCAGGTTACAGACTCCGCTAACCCAGAAATAGTGCTTCAGGTTAAGAACTTTGCTTCAGGATGAGAACAGAAATCGTGCTCCGGCGGTGCGGCGGCAGCGGGAGGCCCCATTAGCTAAAGTGGTACCTCAGGTTAAGAACAGTTTCAGGTTAAGAATGGACCTCCGGAACGAATTAAGTACTTAACCCGAGGTACCACTGTATAGTTAAAACACATTGGCTGCAAAGTCTTTTTTCCTGGACTTAGCTGCCCCCTTTTTAATTTTTTTAAAACTTTTCTCAAGCGCATAAAGTTAAATACACACAAGTTAAATGTGTGTAAGTTGAGGGCTTACTGTACTGTATTTCAAACTTATATTTAAATATTAAATATTATTTAAATAATAATGTCTTAATGTACTCTTATATTTAAATATTCTCATATGAACTGAACTATGCTCTGAACTGGTTAGTGAACCTTTAGAGGCCTCAACTGGAACCAAAGTGGAATAACCTCAGTTGCAACTGAAACTAAACTGAACTATTTTCTGTTTTCCATCCCGTCAGTCATATTCCATCTTTCTGCACTCCCATCTCCACCCTGCAGAAATTCTTAGAGGCAGCACAACACTGATAGAGGTGGCAACTACTATGATTTGTCAATCCAGACAACACAGAAATTGTCCTGAGCAGCAACTCCAACTGTTCCAAACAACTGAAGGTCCACAACATTATGTGAACAGGCATTCATAATCTCTCTGAAATAGGAACTGTTAACTCTTGATAAAGTCTCTACATAGCTAGCTTTCTGAATCAATGGCAACTACTGTAACTTTAAAAACAGAACCAAGGCTGTACAGTATAAACATTTACTTGGCTAATAATGTTCCTTGTATATGCTGTTTAGTGCAGAGACTGCTGAAATTTGATAGCAGGTCAAATGGATCATGCTAACAAGTTTAGACACAACGTTGAATAGTTAAACATTAACTTGAATAAAGTTTGCTTAACATTAACACTTTCCAAGCAAGGTAAATGGAAAATATCTCACATACCATTTTTTAATTTTGGAGTCAACACTGGCACCAGCTGGTTAGCTCAGCTGGTTAGAGTGTGGTGCTGCAACACAAAGGTTGCAAGTTCGATCCACATATGGGGCAGTTTCATATTCCTGCAATGCAAGGTCCCTTCCAGCCCTACAATTCTATGAATCTTGTGCAGAGGACTGCACCCTAGGTGACCTTAAGAAAAACCACTCTCTCTCTCTCTCTCTCAGCCTCTATGCTAAAACCATCAAACTTTTATTACTGATAAGCAAATTTGAATGACATTGGCTATGCAGGTGGTGGGGCCTAATTAAATCCACCAGGCCTCTGAGATGGGACAGACAAGCCTTTTTGGACTAAGCATGCTCACCTTTCCCAATACTGACATTGTATATGACAACAGTTGCAGGAAAGTGTGCTCCCTATTCTTCCTTCACAGCCCAAAAATTGTGGTGGTGGCATTTTTTTGGATATCTTATTAATAGCATCTTTTTCTGTCACCCTGCACAATAAGTGAAGCAAGTGTTAGAAACAATGAACCAAGGAACTTCCTTGGGTGAACTACAAGGGACCTCATGCAGGCTGTATATTTTATCTATCTTATAGCAAGATGTTGCTGAAGAAATGATACAAGAGAGGTTGCATTGCAAATCAGACAGAACTTTGTTTCCATAATTTTAAAGTTATATTACCAACATATAACCAGAGATGATAGGCACCAGGCATTTCCTGAATACAACAGGACCTGAAATCAACTATAGCCCATGTCCATTAAAGCTTTCATGATATCTTTCTTCACAAGACACATGTTTAAAATCCTTCAAATGTGTTATATTATGCTAAATACTGCTCAAAGAGCAGTCTTATGGCACCTCAGGGATGAAAAGAATTATTGTTGTGAAAACTCATGGACCAGAGATCCACTTCATGTGAATGTGAAAATCTAAAAACTGCAAACAATGAACCAAAAGGAATGAAATGTAAGATGTGCAGTTTCTGACAATTCTATGTAAGTTTAAAGATATACAAGATAAGCAGAATGACCATTCACAACAGTAGTACTAGGTGGTAACACAATTTCCCTATTTATGTAGAGGAAACCACTGGATTATATCCAACTACAACTTTGACTTACAGAAAGAAAGCCTATGTCCACAAAACAGGGCACCTGAGTATTACTGATCCCCCACTCCCAGTGCAAATTCCAATATCCTTCAAAAATCTGCTTCTGAGAGTTAAAGGACCCTACAAAGCTGCATGGACATGGCAGAAGGCTGTAGTAGAAGGAAAGGCAAAAATGGGTGTCCCACATTGCATAAACTGATCATTTTCCACTAATGCAAAGCTGCCATCACTGGATGCATCCCACTGTCTTGAATAAATAATTTAAATTTTAATTATTGAAGAACTATAACTTTCAGATCAGCAGTAACATCTCCAAGGAAGCTGTATTTTTCCTTCACTTCCCCCTCTTCTTTTTTTGTTAGATATTTTCTCACTATCATTTGTATAAACACAATCTTATTTAGATAGCAGAAATGCTTTACCACCAAACCTGATCTGTTCAGGGAGAACTCCATTCTCAGACAAGCTTTGTAATATTTTCCAAGAATAAGAGCTAAAGATTCCAAAACAGCCTGTTACTCAAGAACAAGTTAGGAAACTAGCCTATATATATATATATATATATATATATATATATATATATATTCTGACTGGAGTACAGACCAATAGGGACCAAAGAAATAGTGAAATAGGACCAAATATTTTACTAATATACATCACAACTTACACTGAACTGCATATGATGCAAGTACCACAACTGAATTAACAGGGCATAACAACCTGAAAGGAAAAATTGAAATATGTTGATAACATTCTGTCTGAACTGCAGGTAAATGTCACAGCTCAAACATTATATGCCAATATATTTAGAATGCACTTAAACATCCACCAAATATCACAAAATATCTATGACAATTATTGTCATCTGTTATTAAAACTATGGTTTCTAACTTTAAAACTATTACCCCTTCATCAGATCAAGGTGTTTTCATATACAAAAACAATTTTATTCATTTTGTTTTTCTCCCATATTTCATGCCTAAAGCACCTTTCAGGAAGCTGAGTGAGACAATACTGTGTGAATGCATTCACAATCTTTACAGCATACCTACCTGGAACACCAGCACATTGTAGTGACACATTTCACAACAACAACCTTAAAAATAGGTACCGTATTTTTTGCTCTATAAGACTCACTTTATCCCTCCTAAAAAGTAAGGGGAAATGTGTGTGCGTCTTATGGAGTGAATGCAGGCTGCGCAGCTATCCCAGAAGCCAGAACAGCAAGAGGGATTGCTGCTTTCACTGCGCAGCGATCCCTCTTGCTGTTCTGGCTTCTGGGATTCAGAATATTTTTTTTCTTGTTTTCCTCCTCCAAAAACTAGGTGCGTCTTGTGGTCTGGTGCGTCTTATAGAGCAAAAAATACGGTAATTATGTTTCACATTTGTTTTGGAAATCGAGAACAAATTTACACTTCTTAAAAACTGGGTAAAGCTATCCAACATATTGAAAATGAAAATTATGAACAGTCAGATGTACCAGTGAAACAGATCTGCTATTGTTTTACTGTCAACATACTAGAAATATCGAATAAAAGTTAACTTATGTTGTAGCTTCATAGGTCCACAAAAGACAACTCTCCCACACGCTGTGCCTCTCACGCAAGGTTATTTTACATGAGTAACAGTGCCCTTTGAAGAATACTTACTTAGGAGAAAATTTGCAATGGGTTAATGAACTTTATATGGTGCCCCCTTTAGCAACTCAGTTCTAAGCCTTGTATTGTGAGGAGAATCAGAACTTACAGGGTTAAGCAGTTCTGTGTGTCGTCCTTACCTACTGAGGTGTGGCTTATTCACATATGGGGAATGTTTTTTGTTCTTTGTGTGTGAGTTACTTTCATTTTCCGCTGACAAACTGGGAGGATGTCTGCTCGATCTCCCGGATGATTTATTTTTGCTATGCTGTACATAAATTAAAGCTTCTTTAGATTAGGAAGAAGCTGGCGTGTGGACTGCTATTTATTGCACCTACACAAGGCACACACCGCTGCTGCAAAACTCTGCTTGGAGCCAGGGAGAAGTCCAAAGGCTCAGAGGCACAGGGAAGTGTGCTGGACGCAAATCTAACTCAATATGTATACCTTATGAAACTCAATTCCTACAAAAGCTTAAAGGCACTAAATTTTTTTTACATTCTTCCTCTTAACACTATGGAGAAGTTTTCTTTTTCTTTTAACCTGGAGTGTTTCAACAGCTAACCAGTCAAACTACCTTAATAAAGATTTCTTACCTTCCTTCCAAAATGTCAGCCTTCAATTGCAGAAAGAATAAATGTCTAAAAAACAAATTGAAAATAGTTGTTACATCTGACTAATCAAGCCTCTTGTGAATCTGGGTAATCTAAACATATATTTCCTAATTTACTTTGAGACTCTATAAATATAGAGACAATTAAGATGATTATACACATAAATTAGAAGTTCAACATCTGAACGTGTCCGTGAACTGTGACAATGCCTCCTGGTGGCATGGATTGCGGGTGGAAAGATAAGTGTATGTAGATACCTTGCTTTTTGTGTCTAGAATACAGTACAAAAAACAGGAGTCAAATCTGTTGTTTGCCCACTTTTGCCTCTGGCCCTTCCCATCCTTGGCATATGGCCCTGGGAAGGTTGCCCATGATGAAATGTGGCCCTGAAACTAAAAAAAAGTTCCCTGATCTTAAAACACTAAAAATAACTAAGCTTATACTTCACAAATCCATAATTCTGTGTGGATCTATTTACCTCCAACAAATATTATTAACGCTCCACTAGAGCACATTCTCCTGAAGACAGGAGTGCCTGGCGTGCTCTGGTCCATGGGGTCACGAAGAGTTGGACACGACTAAACGACTAAACAACAACAAAGAGCACATTCTATCATGCTAGAATGCTCACAATTTATATCCCCTATTGATAATAATAAGCAATATATTCTTATACATTTCTGGAGCACTCTGCACTTCATGGTGCCATTTCAGTTAGATGGATATTGCTAAGGGGGCGTATTATTCCAGCATCCCTGAACCATTTAATCTTACAGGTTCTGCTAAAACCATTTTGTGGTTGGAGCAGAAGCAGCATTTTCCTACATTTGTGAGAAGGATTAATTATTACCTAAACTGAAAACCTAACTCCTGCAACATTTAAAACTAAGAAAAGGCATGCTGAATATAAACAGATCTTGTCTAAATTGACACCGGATGACCAATACACACAGCATTTTGCTATTGTAGTATTTATCTACCTGTGCATATTCTGAGGTTCTTTAACAACCAACTTTAAATTTACAATTAGGTGTTTATGTGCCAACCATAGATAAAAGACTGTAAACCTGGTGTTTTACTGCAAATACTAGGATGTGTGAGATGTCAGCAGTTCTTAAAACATAACCACAGAACTTTAGTAAAGAAACAAGGTTTACCTGGTTTGCTCCTGCTGCAGTGTGTTCGGATCAGGTATAAAAAACCTTACTCGAAAATGCAGGCTACAAGGGAAACCACCTAGAATATTTTACAAAATTAAAATCAGTGTACATGATTTCTTCATCTATATTTATTTAGATTAATAAAAATATCATATACAATGACAAATGAAATTACCTTCTAAAACAAACTTAAACAAAAAGTCAATATGTCATTTATGTAAAACCTCAATTCACAGGAACACTTCAATAAAATTGTTAATGTAATTTGATTTTTAAAACCCCCCGAAGGATTAGCTCCAGATTTAGTCATACTTAAGAGCAGACTCACTGAAATCAATGGGATCTAAGATAGTCATAAGTGCCAATAGCTTCAATCTGCATACTCTAACTACAAAAATAGTACATTTTCTGGATTAACTCAAATAATTGTTCTTTCTAGAATAGAGTATAAATTGATTTTGAAGTTTAAAGGTCAAGAAATAATAATATGGAATGTAATTAAGTGCAAGATGTAATTACAAAAGTAAATTTGGTATAAAAATGATGAGAATTTAAGTATATTGAGGTATAAGATCATAAAAATAAAACAAAAATTAAGCAGAAGTAATAAATATTTAAAGAACCGGAAAGGGAAGCTGAGGGAAGTCATGGAGAGGTTTTTTATTTTTTGTTTATATGACAAATGTTACATTGTGTTATTTGATTGAATAGTAAATTGTAAAATCCAATTAATTTTATAGCAAGGGCTCTAAGACGTATTTTGTTTGTATTAAATAACCAATAAAACTTATTTTTTTAAAATATATCAGATGACATTGTAACATAAGAGGGTACAATTTTAACTATTCTCACGAATGTGTGAGTTATTTCAGGCTCAAAGAGACCTTAACTCCGTACAATTATTATTATTTTGTAAAAAAAATTACTTCAAAATCAATTTATTTTATAACCACAAAAACACGCTCCTTATTTTTAAAATATAACAAGTACATGGTTAGTCCATTCTACAACAAACTTATGATACCCCTGTTAGTTGTGGTTTGCACACTATGGCTTATCAAACCTACAGGGAATAAAATGACAAAAATTCACTTTGAATGGTCAGTGACCCTGTTCTGTGGCACTTAATACAATTTTTATAACTTATTTTGAAAGAGACTACATTAGCTTTATTTTGATACAAAAATAAGCCCAATCAGTTGAAAAATAAGCGAAACAGGAGGTTTTCTCTAAACTGATGCAGAAATTGCATCAGCCTAAATCGGGTGAAAACTGAAATTTTAAAAAAATTCTGCGCCCAATTTTGGACCAACAAATCTAAAAAAATTAATTTGAGGTTATCTCATAGGTATCTACACATAAATTTTTTTTTGAAGAAAATCTGAGACGTGAGAGCACGGTCGAACATTTAAATCAGGTGCTTTGGCATGGAATGACCCATGAGTCAACAGTCTGAAGCAACAACAAAAATAGCTGCAGCAACAGAAGTACAGTGGTGCCCCGCAAGACGAACGCCTCGCAAGACGAAAAACTCGCTAGACGAAAGGGTTTTCCGTTTTTTGAGCTGCTTCGCAAGACGAATTTCCCTATGGGCTTGCTTCGCAAGACGAAAAACGAAAACGTCTTGCAAGTTTGTTTCCTTTTTCTTAACACCGTTAATACAGTTGCGACTTGACTTCGAGGAGCAACTCATAGAACGTGGTGTGGTAGCCTTTTTTGAGGTTTTTGAAGACTTTGGTGATTTTTGAAGCTTTTCCAAAACTTCTTTTAAACTTTTAAAACTTTTTTGGGGGGTTTTGGATTTTGGGTTGGGTGTTTGGAATTCAAGGACTTGGTGTTGGGGAGGGGTTTGCAAGAATCTGGAAGCTTGTGTGCTTTTTTCTGCATTTTTATGATTTTCTGTGACCATTGGGCCACTCTGCTGTTTTTTAAAAAAATTTCGTCTAGCGAGTTTTTCGTCTTGCGAGGCGTTCGTCTTGCAGGGCACCACTGTACTTCTGTTGCTGCAGCTATTTTTGAATTTCTGTGTGGTGGGTGGCTGGGGAAACAGTTGAGGAGGAGTTTGCAAGAATCTGGAAGCTTGTGTGGTTTTTTTCTGCATTTTTATGATTTTCTGTGACCATTGGGCCACTCTGCTGTTTTTTAAAAAAAATTCTGGATTTGAATTTCTGTGTGGTGGGTGTCTGGGGGAACAGTTGAGGAGGGGGGTTCTTCAGCAAGAAGCAAAGAGTGGAAGAGGAACCTTCTTCGAGTTGTCCCCCAGAGTCTTAGAAAATGTACTGTACACTTTGTTGATTTTTAAATGTTTTTCTGTCATGTTTAGAAACTTAATTTATTGTTCCTTCAATTTTTGAAATGCTCTTTACAGTATGTGTGACTTTAAAGAGCACTTAATAAACTCTTGTTGTACCAAATTTGGCTTTGTTTGGACTTTTTTTTACTATAGGAACGCATTAATTGGATTTCAATGCATTCCTATGGGATTTCGTGCTTCGCAAGACAAAAAATTCGCTAGACGAAAAAACTCGCGGAATGAATTAATTTCGTCTTGCGAGGCACCACTGTATAGTATCCAGATCAAGGGAGGCAATGTTATTGTTGTTTAGTCGTTTAGTTGTGTCCAACTCTTCCGTGACCCAATGGACCAGAGCATGCCAGGCACTCCTGTCTTCCACTGCCTCCCGCAGCAATAGTACCACTCTATTCTGCCTTAGACAGACCACACGTGGTATACAGTTCTGGGCACCACAATTTAAGAAGGATACTGACAAGCTGGAGCATGTGCAAAAGAGGTCAACCAAAATGATCAAGGGTCTGGAGGCCAAGCCTTAAGACAAATGTTTGAGGGAGTTGGGTGTGTTTAGCCTGGAAAAGAGGAGACTGAGAGAAGAAATGATAGTCATCTTCTAATATCTTCTAATATCACATGGAACTGTCACATGGAACAAGCAGGCTTGTTTTCTCCTACTCCAGAAGTTGGGACACAAACCAATGGATTCAAGTTACAAGGAAAGAGATTCTGACTAAACATCAGGAATATCTTTCTGACAGTAAGAGCTGTTAGACAGTAGAACGGACTCCCTTGTGAGGTTATGGGAAAGCCTTCATTGGAGGTTTTTAAGCAAAGGTTGGGTGGCCACCTGTCATGGATGCTTTAGCATTGCAAGGGGTTGAACTAGGTTCCTTCCAACTCTACAATTCTATATTTCTATTAACACTTTGAATAATGTGTACAGTTCTGGCCACCACACCTCAGCAAGGATAATATAGAACTGAAGTTCAGAAATAATAGACCAGAATTATTATGGGTCTGAAGCAACTACCCTATGGAGGAAAGGGGCTTTATTTTATAGAAAAGGCAAAGTGGGGCATGAATTACGCAGCAAGTTGAAAAAGTGGACAGAGAGAATTTTTTTCTCACTCTCTCATTATACTAGAATCCCAAGTCATATGAGATTTTAAAGCAAGAAATTTTAAAGCATTACCTTTTAGCTGTTTCCGAACAAGTTTACCAGATTCAAGCCATCTCTGCAAATATTTTTTAAAAAAACAAAGTTAGGAAGCTTTCTGACTACATTTTTTTTTAAAAAAATCTTGAATGTATGTTTCCTTACTGTTGAATCTGCTGAGTCTTCACAGTGCTGCAAACCAAAATATTCCTTCTCTGTCACACCCAAATGATTAAAGGCTAAATCCAACAACACCTGACCAGTATCTTGTTTCTGCAAAGTTAAAGTAAAAGTATTTAGAAAGCTAATCTTTGCCACACAGAGTGCTTTAAAAATGTAATTTCACTAACATTTACATATAAAAGGGAAATTACTACTAGGAATAAATGGAAGAACTGCTATCATTATTAAATTGAATGTCAAGCTCTCTTCATAAACAGTTTATAACTCAGCCACAAGCCAGAGCCTGCTCACTTTCTTCCACCAGATTAACTAATTCTCAAACAATTTTTTTTTTACCTCTCCAGCAGCGTGCTTATGAACACTCCATTCACAAGATAATATTTTTTGCAGGACTGCCTGTATAGCTGAGCCTTCAAAATCCTGTTACATGAAAGGTTCTGGGCACCTGGGATGCCATATTTACTATGACAAGCTATATAAATTTCCTTAGGACATCCCTAATTTCATTGGAGAAATCCTTTTAATATCCAGAATTTGAGAACTTCTTAAAACTTTAAAAGATTAATGTAAGCACCATCAACCCTCTCTCCCTTGATGGATGCCATGTCCTCTCAAGAGTGTTTTCTTGTGTAAATACAGATAATGGGACTCCAGTAATGGAGATTAATCAGAATAAAACAACAAGGAGATGTCAGATTTACCGTATGTTTATGTTTCTGGCATAAACAAAACAACTATTTGTAGGCTACAGCTGCCTTCATGAGGTGCATTCAGCAGACTGACAAAGTGGGCTTAAATGTGCAGTCTTAAAAATGCCATAATATTCCTCCTAATATTCCATAACATTTCTCCTAAATAACGGGGTTTCGGGGAAGAGGGGAGGTCACAAACCTCTCCAAAGAAGCCTTCCAGCACCTGATTATGTGAACAAGAAACCTGCATAGAGCTAGACACAGTTCAAAAATGAATATGTACCTGTATTACATATAAACAGAATTGTTTTTTTTGGGGGGGGGGATGCTGTATACAAGCACACCTCCTGTAAGCAGACCTATACTAGCTCATTAGTTAGCAACCATCTCCTACATGAATACTATGTCTAAAGAATGTGTTTCTTTAAAAAAAATTAAAAATCAACAGGTCAACATTCAAATAGCCTGAGAGCATATCCAGACATCTTTTTAAATTTTAAGAAGGGAAAGGAAATAATGCTCCAACCAAGTACCAACCAAATATTTTATATCAAAAGAAATAACTTTCCACACTGCTCTGCCTCCGTTTCTGAAGCATTCTGGCACTCAACAACTCATCTGATGTCCTAACAGTTCCACAGTAAGTGCTATCATGGGTCCCATTGTGACTCAGGTCCTGTTGCTAAGGATATGCTGCCAACTGCATCAGCACAACAGTACTGGTCCTCCAGCAGGAGTGCACTTGCAAGCACAATCTTCTCACTTGAGTCAAGTTTCTGTCCCACTCTTCAACAGTTGAGCAGGAAGGGCATGTCAAGTGTTGGGACATCTCAGCTACTGATTTGGCTATTAGTTTTAGAGCTCTGCTTATAGACTTAAGAACTGTGTACTAATGCTGAGACCATGCACTGACTTTTTGAACAAAGCTTGCAGGTTTCCTTGAGCTGAGAGTCCGAGTTTCGTGACTGAGGCTTGGAGCTACGACAAGCGCTTTAACTATGCATTGACTTCAAAGTGATGGTAAGGGCAGGGTTAACTCCATATCTAAGTACGAAAGCAGTACCTGGAAGCTGGGTTTGAGCACCCATCCTTATCAAGGAGTCCGGATAGCTTAGTTGGCTGGGGCGTGGTGCTGATAACACCAAGGTTGCAGGTTTGATCCCCATATAGGACAACTGCATTTTCCTGCATTGCAGGGGGCTGGGCTCAGTGATCCTCAGGGTCCCTTCCAACTCTACAATTCTATGATTCTAAGGATATATTGGTTTCACATTCTGAGCTTTCTCTCTGATTAGCATATGAACCAGAAGAGACTTCTAAGGAACAGAATATGCCACAACAGGATGATGAGCTCCTTACTATCCAACAATTTTCTCAATTTTAAACAAATCTGCACATTGCATTATAAAGTTGTCACTTGGCAGGTATCTTGGTCCACATTCAATATTGAGTGTGTTCAAAGTACTGTCTCAGCAGCAATAACCCCAGAAAAGTACCGTAACAGCAGCAATAACCCCCAAGATTCTTAGCACATGGAAATATAATTGTCCCAATGAATTTCAGACATGATTTGCTTTCAGGCTACATGAGACACGTTAATGACAACAGAGGCTGGGAAGTGGACCTTCTAATTTTGAGGAAATAACAGGTGGGAAGGGGACCTTCCATGCATCTCAAACAGTTCCTTTCCACAGAAGTGTCCATGGGAAAGAAATATCAGAACTGAACTATCAGACTAGCTGACATGTTGATATTCCTGGCCTACATACCATTTTCCAACCCAGTTTTGGCACAAGTAAGACAGAAGCTTCATTTCAAGGACCTGTCCAAGTTGTCCAGTATAATAATAATAATAATAATAATAATAATAATAATAATAATATCTTTATTGTCATTGCCCCCTTCGGGGACAACGAAATTACTTGACTGCTCCATAAAAACACTAATTAATCAATACAGTATAATACAGCAAGGGAGATTAGATGACTTTCAAAGTCCGGGCTTCCCATTCAGGGCCGAGATCGCTCTGGAGAAGAAGCTGTTCTTAAGACGGCTCGTTCTTGTCTTCATCGTCCTGTATCTCCGTCCCGACGGCAAGAGCTCGAAGAGACAGTGACCAGGATGCGATGGATCTTTTACTATGTCCAGTGCCTTCCTATGGCACCTTGTGGCATAAATCTGCTCTAAGGTGGAGAGTGGGCAGCCAACAATGCTCTCTGCTGCCTTAACAACCCTGCACAACCCCATTCTGTCCTGGGTAGTACAGCTTCCATACCACACACATAAGCCATAAGTGAGCACGCTCTCAATGGCACAGTGATAGAAGGCAAGCAGCAGTTTCTGCGGAAGATGGTTTTTCCTTAGTATTCTCAAAAGTACAGTCTCTGCTGCGCCTTCTTCACAAGCCCCCTTGTGTTGACACTCCAGGACTGATCCTCTTGTAATTCAATGCCCAAAAATCTGAACGTTGTTACCCTCTCCACACAGACCCCATCAATCAAAAGTGGCTGGAAAGTGGCTGGACGTTGCTCTTCTGTCTTCTGAAGTCCACCACAAGCTCCTTTGTCTTCCTTGTATTTATGAGCAAGTTGTTAGCTCTGCACCACTCTGTCAGCCGCTCCACCTCATCTCTATAATCCGTTTCACCCTCCCTTTCAGGGATGAGCCCAATCACGGTTGTCATCTGCAAATTTGACAACCCTATTACTAGGGTGAGTAGCGACACAATCGTACGTGTAGAGAATATAAAGGAGCGGACTGAGTACGCATCCCTGTGGTGTTCCTATGTTAGTCTTGAGCATATTAGAGGTATAGGGGCCCAACCAAACCCTCTGGGGGCGGTCTGACAAAAAGTCCAATATCCACCCACAAAGTGATAACGGAAGCCCCAGATCTTCCAGTTTAGACATCAGACGTTGTGGTAGAATGGTATTAAATGCCGAGCTGAAATCTAAAAAAGCAGTCTGGCATAACCCCCGCTGCTCCAAATGTGCAAGGACGGCATGGAGGGCAATCGCCACAGCGTCCTCTGTCGATCTTTTCGTTTTATAAGCAAATTGGAATGTGTCCAGTCCCTCTGGTAGGCAGGCAATGACATAATTTCGTACCAGCTTTTCAAAGCACTTCATGATTATAGGTGTGAGTGCTACTGGACGAAAATCATTCAGATCTTCCGGGTTAGATAATGCAATACTCTCAATGGTAAAAGCTATAGACATTGCATGATTCAATCACCAGACATTCCCCAAGAGCCAATTACACATGATGTGCTGAATGCACATAAATAAAAAACTGCAGACATTTGTCGCTGATAAACTGTCAACCTACATGCACCAAATCCAAAGAAAAAGTTATCAAAATATTTCTTCCATATATGCAGTGCAGTTAGCATTAAAAAAAACAAAACATACCTCAGCTATCTGAACTGATTGTGACCTTTCATCCATAGATGCTGGCAGGTCTATTGATGTCATTAACCTCTTGAAGCAAGAGATGTGGACTATGCCACTATCACTGGCTAAAGGAAGAGAATATTTCACAGCTAGGTTTGAAAGAAACCTGGATTCTAACATGTTCTGTAATGGATGGTATGGCAGTAATTCAGACCATGGGAAACCCAAGGATGTAGTGACCTTTGAAGACTAAGCAGACTTGCTTAAAGTGAGTATCTTTTCCAGTTTCAATGAATGTTGCACCACAACAGATGTTGTATTTGCCTGCTTCAAGAAACCATCTATTAAGGATGTTACCATGCCAAACTTGGAAAAGGAAGGAAAACAAAGAGTTTTAGCAGCAGTTTTTCAGAACCAATTTGCTCTTGTGAAGTTGATGTTGTGCAGTGAAGGATCAAATATCTGATATGCAACAATTTCTCAAGTTTCCAAATTGGACCAGAAACCCCAAAACACAGGGGCCCCATGCTTTACAGATATCACACATTTCAAAATCCCAAGACTTACACTAACTTTGAAGCTTTGCATTGAGCCATCCAAAAAGCGGACACTGCAAATGATCTCAGATCGGGTCCGTTCCTTTGGTAGTTCTGATGCTCGAATGTTATTTATTCTCCCACCTAGTGCTCGTAACCGAGAGTTCATAACTGTTGCTGAACAACCTGCAAAGAAAGATGCCAAAGTATATTTTTACATGTAACAGACATATGTTTTTGGTTATATACAAGCTTCCCTTTAAACTGCTTTGAAGTTTCACAGTATATAAATATACAGTATATAAATTCTGTGCATGTAAGTAAGTAAATAAAACTCTTCCTCTAAATTCACCACACATGCCACATCAAGATGTACAATAGTGGGACAATAGTGTTGCAGTTAAAGAAACTCAAAAAGAACGTCATAATATTGTTGGAGTTCCCAAACTGCTTAGGAAAACAAGAACACACACAGTGTAAGATGATTTTTTATGTACAGTGGTACCTCGGGTTAAGAACTTAATTCGCTCTGGAGGTCCGTTCTTAACCTCAAACTGTTCTTAACCTGAGGTACCACTTTAGCTAATGGGGACTCCCGCTGCCGCCGTCGCGTGATTTCTGTTCTCATCCTGAAGCAAAGTTCTTAACCCGAGGTACTATTTCTGGGTTAGCAGAGTTTGTAACCTGAAGCGTCTGTAACCCAAGGTACCACTGTACTGATTTGATCATTTAGATGGCTATTACATTTTTATAACTTAATTTAAGTTACCAGAATACTGTTTTGTTTTTGTAAAATTTTTGTAAATCATTTGTAAAGTCAAAATACAAGAGCCCTTAATAAATACAACAATTATTGTTCACTAACTTAGCACGCTAACAGTCATTATAACTATAGGGACGGTGTTCCCGGGGCCATAGGTTTTTTTTCTTAACAGCAAATAACAATCATCCACTTATAAGTAGAAACAAAAGGGTTCACTTTCGCTGCATGACCAGGAAAGGAACCAAACATGCTCCTTTCCCACTAACACTCCCCATATGGCCAGCCCTTGCAATTCTGACCTGGAAATAATAATATTTTTTTCAGATATCAATAGAGAATATTATAGGTCCTGATCATTTGCAGATGGTGATTTGTATACAAAGTCAGGTTTATCAACACAACTGAGGTGTATTATTTTAGATTCTATATTGTCATTACGTAATGCAAACTTTGTTTGAGGGCTGCCATTTTTCTGAGTGCATTAGAGCCAGCAGCATGACTGCTGATAACACTATGGCTAAGATGGGGACTGTGTAGTGGAAGACTCTGTAGAGTGGTCCCCCAGCATTATCCAACTCTCCAGTTGTTGTGAACCAACTCTTGTTCTCTGATCACCCCTCCAGGAATCATTTCCTCTTCCACTTCACGTGCATGTGGCAGCATTTCACTCCTATCAAAGTGGAGGGTTAGAGTATGTAGTTCTAACATACCTGGAATTAGGCAAATGTATGTCCATTTGCCCCACCCAAATTTAAAAAAGAATAAAAAATGGAAGGGAACCCAAAATAGAAAAAGGAAAAAAACAGGGCGCATATTCAGAGGGCACAAAATAGGACAAAAACGGGAAATGGGGAGGGAGAACAAATGGAGTGGCTGGCAACCTGAACAGAACTGCCACATTTTGCTATAAGGCCATGCTTGTAACCCTTAATCACATTTTTAAATCACATTGCACTTTCATACAATGACTGCCAATTCACTCATTTCCTTAACTGAAGCCTTGAGGAATTCTATTGCTTCCTTGAGAGAGTGTTGTCACTTGAATAGCAAAGCCATAGTATAAATAAATAAAATAATAAGACAGATTCATATAATAGGACTGCAACATCTCTATTGCAAAGGTGGAGCTTGTGTATAACTTCCACAATTTTTCATTAAAGCAATGATGCACCTCAGTACAGTCACTGTTACATGCAGTTTGCCTAATAGAACAAGAAGATGGTCCAGGTTCCTGCAACACATTTTATGCTGCTTCCCTGAGATGTACAGACTTAACTATATATATTTTCTCCCAGGCACCGCTACAGCCTGATTAATGCTCTCTACCTATAGTTAAACTTTAAATAGTGTTGACCATGCTGTGTTGACTATGCTGTTTATAGTTCATGTGTGAGTGGTGCTTTACACTCTGGTGTAAAGAAGGGCTTTGTTTATTCATGAATTATATGCATGCAATGTAGGGATTTTTCAAACTTGTGAAACACTCTCTGCAGTACTATTTTCTTGATTGTAACTTCTACAGTTTCCACAGTTCTTGCAAAAGTCTCTGCTATGAGCCACATCTTAATATTAGCGCCCATTTTAGAAGAGGTAAAGGTAAAGAAGCCATGGACGGTTAAGTCCAGTCAAAGGCGACTTCATCTTGCTTCAGGCCAAGGAAGCAGACATTGGTCCAGAGACAGCTTTCTGGGTCATGTGGGCAGGATGACTAAACCGCTTTGGCACAGGGGAACATCATGACAGACACCACAGCGCACAGAAATGCCATTTATTTTCCCACCGTAGTGATACCTATTTATCAACTTGCACTGGTATGCTTTTGAAGTGTTAGGTTGGCAGAAGCTGGGAAAGAGCCACGGGAGCTCACCCTGTCACAGAGATTCGAACTGCCAACCTTCTGATCAGCAAGCCCAAGAGGCTCAGTGGTTTAGATCACAGTGCCACCCACGTCTCTTTACCATTTATCTTTACCATTTTAGTACTTTCTGCTTTCAAGGAGATGCTGACTCTTAACAATAGAGCTCCATCTTGGAATTCTGAGTGCTTTAGACTTTGAGATGGCATCTTGCCACATGAAATCTCATATTTATAGCATGGTTTTTGTGCAGATCACACTTCTGCCTGTCTGTCCAAATCAGTGTTCCATTACCACCAAATAAAAGGGTTCACAGTACAGAACTTAAAACATGGGGAAGTGAGGGACAGATTGTTTCCTTCTGAACTGTTATCTAAAGAACTGGGAACAAAAATCTGTTATCCCCAATAATATTGTTCTAGTATCTTTAGAGAATACTAAAGGAAATAATTTTAAGAACAAATGGAGAAGGAAGAAAAGACATTCAATTCCAAAGTCTTTTGGACATCCCCCCCCTCCCCAGAACTAGTTAAAGAGTGTAACTATCAGATTCTACTCCCTTGATTCACGTGTCACAGTAAGGCAAACTATGACTTACCAGGATTGCATAAATGTAAAGGCTCCCAAAGAGGAGAGTGCAGCTGCTGTGTCCCTCCCCAGTCTTTATTCCTGTACTGTGCTGTACTAAGCCAAGGTTTGGCTTAGAATATCAGCCAAAGCTAGGCTTGTGGTTAAAGCTCTCTCCTCAAAGATCACAAGCTGTAGCCAACCTTCATTGCAACCAATTTTGAATCCACTTTCCTCCATAGCCAATTTAAACACCCAAAAGTTCTTAAAGCTGCATTTCTGTCTCTCTCACACCCAATGGAAAGAGACTAAGAAATGCTTTAAGTGGAACATTTTGAATCAGTCTTAAGGATCAACCTATTAAAAGCAGGTGCTAAAGATACATACTACGTGAAAAGTTACATTAATAAATCTGTGTCCAAAACCTCATGACCACAACAAATGCCCTACTATTATAATCCACCAATGAGTTCACTTCTTTGTTACAGGGGCTCCAGGCCAAGCTCACTTATGCACCTCTCTTTACATAGATGGTGGTGGCTTGGATATATAAGCATCCATAGTCAGAAAACTGAACATGTTATACTTAAATGTTCCATTCTGAATTAATTACCTTATAGCATGTTTTCACTATCATTCATTTTTATTTGCCTCAAAATAAAGTCTATGTGAAGCTTTTAACCTGGACACTAATGGGAATGATTAGAGACAGTCAAAAGCAATCAACTCTCAGTATTTTATTGTTTTTCTTATTGCAATGTGTGTGTGTGTTTACTGGCAACTAAAATATTTACTTCTCCATAATTAATTTTTGCATGCTGAAGTGATTCCTGAAGAATGTGGGCTCCGTGCCAAGTTGACAAGCTGTGTAAATTAATCTCACACAATGGCAAGGCACATGGATTATTCCTCATGGTCCAAGTGTTATGTTTCAAGAGGCAACTCTGCTGCACTGAACATTTAGTAGAACTACTTGCTCATGGGAGGAGGGGGAATGGAAGGTAAATTAGGAACAATATAATTTTCTGCACCTTCCATTATAGAGAGCAAAACTACCGATACTCATTTTACAGCTACCGCTATTAACTTTGATTTCTTTAATCTCACTGAACTGGTAAACACTGATATCTTCTTCAAGAAGGATAGGTACTTCAGTGTGAAAATGTTACCTAGGATAGTGTCAGGAAACTGCCGTCAGTGCCGGAGGGAGAGAGCAAAATCCAGAGGGATTCCCGAGAGCGTCCCGGGAGTGGGAGAGGCAGCCAATCTTCTGGGGGAGAGAATCAGTGTAGCACCAGTGGAGAAGGGGGGCAGATGGGGGAAGCGGCGAGGCGGCGCCATGACTCCTTGCCGGGGACCAGCGGGGAGAGTAGAGGTCCTCCGCTGCCTACGCCCTCCTTGCGCAGAAGGCTTTCGCGCAGAGAGTAGGAGGAGACTAGGCGTCAAAGAGCTTCTTTGATGGAAGAAGTTTAAGAAACGCCCACTGACGGATTCTGCCAGCGATTGAGACAGCCACGGGTGAGTGGCTGTCCGGACAGGAAAGGTTCACTCAGGCAACCCAGCCGGGTGTTTGCACCGGCTTACGCACGAGCAACCCCTAGAACCATTACAGCAATCCGTCAGTCCCTGATGTTGCTCGTGTGCAGCACAGGAGAGGCAGCACGATGAGCCAAACAGGGCCGTCCGGAGAGACAGAGCAAGAAGCCATGGTGCGAGGTTCAGGTCGAGAGGAACCGAGACCTGGAGACGCATGTCGCTACCCTGTCTGCGCGGCTGGAGGAGAGACAGGCTCAGGATGCACAGGTCAGAGCCACCCCGATAGGGAGGAAGGTCCCGGGGCTGGTACACAAGTTTGGTGGAAAGCCCCAAGACTACAATGCCTTCCGAACGGAAATTCAGTACGCTTTGGAATTGCAGAAAAACGACTTTGTGGATGACGGGGAGAGGGTGGCTTACATTTGGACATCTGCAGGATGGGGCGCACGAATGGATCAGGCCCTTGATGGCAACGGGGAATGACGCTTTGAAAGATCTTAAGAAATTCTACCTCGCAATGGACGCGATGTTCTCCAGCGAGATTGAGCAAAGCGTGACACGGAGGGAGCTGATGGGGTGCAAGCAAGGGAGCCTTCCCAGGCGGCGGAGCCGATGGAAATTGATGGAGCGCGCGCGCGCGAAGTTTCTAACGCTGGGGAAGGGCGGAAAAAGGAGTGGAAAACTACCAAGAAGTGTTTCCTCTGTCAGCAACCGGGACACATTGCAAAGGTCTGCCCTCAACGAAAAGCCTGGCAAGGCATGATGGGGGCTGCAGGCCATGACGATAAGGGGGAGGAAGAGCTGGTGCCGGGAAACGACAACGCCTGGCTGCCAACCAGCAGGGGCAGCAGCCAGGCCAGCAACCAATAGAAGTGCCCCAGCCTGACCCTCCCAAGGCAGCTATAGCCATAGAGGTGGTGCTAGAACTCCCAAATGGGCACCCCGTCAAAGTGGAGGGGCTGCTAGATTCTGGCAGCTCGTGTAATTTCTTCAGCAGAGACTTCGCTCTGGAGCACCAGCTCCACCTGTTGCCACTAGATTTTCCCTTGCAGGTGACCACCATCGATGGCAGGGAACTCCTGGGAGGGGAAGTGACACACCAGACACCGCCAATGTGAATGAGTGTCTCCAGGCACACGGAAACCATTGCCTTTCACGTGGCCACGCTGGCAGGACCCCCGATAATACTGGGAATGAGCTGGCTGGCAATACATGACCCAGTGGTGTCATGGCATCAGCGGTCGGTCACCTTTGGGTCAGCTTACTGCTCAGAACACTGTCTGGGAGGGAAGGAACCAAAATGGACTGTGGCCAGGGTGGCTGGGGTGGCCCTGGAGCAAAAGAGGGAGGTGCCAACACAATATGCTGATTTGAAGGAGGTCTTCAGCGAGAGGGAGGCAGACTGCCCCCCCACAGGCCATTTGACTGCCAAATCAACCTGCTTCCAGGGGCTCAGTTGCCGGTGGGTAAGCTGTATGCCATGTCCGACCGGGAGATGCAGGAGTTGCGGCAGTTTATTGACAAGAACCTGAAGAGAGGTTTCATAAGGGAATCAAAGGCGGTGGGGGGCAGTCCAGTGTTCTTTGTGGACAAAAAAGAGACTAATCAGCCCAGATTAGTTGTGGATTACCGGGCCCTAAACCTGGTGTCAGAACCCATGACTTTCCCAATGCCCAGGATTGATGATATTTTGACACGTGTGAGGCAGGGGAAGATTTTTACCAAGCTGGACCTCAGGGGAGCATACAATCTGATTAGGATAAGGGAGGGGGACAAATGGAAAACGACCATGTTCACCCCCCTGGGGGCTTTTGAGTACTTAGTCATGCCATTTGGATTACAATCGGGGTCCTCCTGCTTTCAAGCCTTCATGCACCATGTGTTGGGGCCCCTGCTGTACAAGAATTGCGTAGCCTTTTTGGATGACGTCTTAATCTATTCGGACAATGAAAAGCAACACGTCAGAGACATCAGGGAGGTGCTACAGAGATTGAAGAAGCATCAGTTGTGGGTCAAGCTGGAAAAATGCCAATTCCACGCCAGGGAGGTCGAGTTCCTGGGGTACAGGTTGTCAGACAAAGGACTAGCCATGGATCCGGGCAAAGTGAAGGCAGTGCTGGAATGGAAAGCCCCCAAAAACAGAAAGGATGTGCAGAGATTCCTAGGCTTCAGCAACTTCTACAGGAAGTTCATAAAGAACTTCGCTCACTTGACAGCGCCCATAACGGATTGTCTTAGTAGCAAAAAGAAGTTCGCGTGGACAGAGGATGCGCAGCAATCCTTTGAAAAACTGAAGAAGGCGTTCGCCTCGGAAGAGCAGCTCCTGCACGTGGATCCGGAGAAGCCCATGAGACTGGAGACGGACGCGTCCGACCGCGCGATTGGAGCGGTCCTTTTGCAGCCCGGGGCCAAGCAGAACTGGATGCCGTGTGCCTTTTTCTCTAGGAAGCTGAGCAAGTCGGAGCAAAACTACACGGTGTATGACCGAGAACTGCTTGCGATCTATGCGGCATTTCGGCAATGGAGACATCTATTGACAGGGGCGCGGCACAAGATCCAGGTCCAAACTGACCACAAGAACTTGGAATACTGGTGGACCGCGCGAGTGCTCAACCAGAGACAGATCAGATGGTCTCAGGAGTTTGCCAAGTTTTTCTTCGAGATCCGATACGTGCCGGGAGAGGAAAACGTAAGGGCAGATGCTCTCTCCCGGAAACCGGAGTACATGGAAGGAGAGGGGCCACCAGAGACCAGGCACGTGTTCCCCGAGGACCGGTGTGTGGGGGGGAGCGTTGGTTGGGAAACGAGAACTGGCAGGGCTCACCAGAGACGATGAGTTTGCTCAGACAAAAATCAGGGAACTCAGGGACGGAAAGGAAGTCAATGGAGGGTTTGAGGAAAAGGAAGGACTACTGTACTATAAGGGGGCACTGTATGTACCAGGGGAGACTTTGAGGGGGAAGGTACTTAGACAACTCCATGGCAACCCAACAGCTGGGCACTTTGGACAGCACAAGACCATGCTACTTGTCACCAGGCAGTTCTGGTGGCCAAAGGTGAGGGAAGACGTACGAGAATATGTACGAGGGTGCAACCGATGCCAGAGGGCAAAGGGGGAAAGGCCCGCCCCCGCGGGGCTACTGGAACCCTTACCGACACCGGAAAGGCCCTGGGAGGTGGTGTCCATTGATTTCATGACAGATCTGCCCAAGTCAAGGGGAAAGACAGCGGTCATGGTAGTGGTCGATCTACTGACTAAAATGTGCCATTTCGTAGCTTGCTCACATGCAGCAACAGCAGAGGAGACAGCCAGGCTGTTTGTGGATCACATTTTTAGACTGCATGGGGCTCCATTGAGGGTAATCTCAGATCGCGGGAAACAATTTACTTCCCGGTTCTGGCGGAGACTCATGAGCTTGCTAGAGGTCGAGGTGAGCTTCTCGACGGTGAGGCATCCAGAAACCAACGGACAAGCCGAAAGGGCGAACGGTATACTCCAGCAGTACCTACGCTGCTATGTCAGCGAGAGACAGAACGATTGGGTAGAGAAATTAGCTTTGGCTGAATTTGCGTACAATAACGCTGAACACGTGTCCATGGGAATGAGCCCTTTCATGGCCAATTACGGGTGTCACCCCAGGGCCTTCCTGGGGTGGGGGGAGGAAGGATGGAGTGTACCTGCGGCTGAGCAATGGGTAGAAGAAATGGAGGCCTTACACCAGCAACTCAGGCTGAACTTGGAGCGGGCCAAGGAAGTTTACAAGAGGCAGGCGGACAGGCACCATCGGGAGGGGGAGGCCATACGGGTGGGAGACCGGGTGTGGTTGTCATCCCAAGGGTTACCCCTAAAGGGAGGGTGCAAGAAGTTGCAGCCTAGGGGGCTGGGGCCTTTTGAGGTAATACAGGTTAACCCAGTGGCATTTAAACTCAAGTTGCCTGACAGCATGAAGATACATCCGGTGTTCCATAGGTCCCTACTTTCACCTTACAGGGAGGGGCGGGAATTCCCGGGACGGGAGGGAGGGATTACCACCCACCCGGGGGTAGAGGAGAGGGAACACTGTAACGAAGCCACGGAAATACTCGATTCAAGGTGGCAAGGTAGAGTACTTGGTAGCCTGGGAGGGGGAACCTAGGTCTGAAAACACTTGGGTCCCTGCTGAATCAATCACTGACAGGTATCTGGTGGAAGAATTCCACGGTTTGTTCCCGGAGAAGCCCAAACCATTAGCTAGATTCTGGGAGGAAGAATTTGGACCCACAGACGACGAAGGGGACTTTGTGGGTTTTCCTGCCTCTGAAGAGGAGGGAGGGGAGGTGTCCGAGGGAGAAGGATCAGACTGGGAGGTTCAACCAGCGGGAAGAAGTCCAAGCAGATGGGAGGCTGGTTCTGAATCCTCAGAAGATGATGACAGTTCCTTCAGGGGATTCCCCGCATCGTCGACCGAGGAGAGAGAGGAGGTTGTACAGGAAAATCGCGCCAGGGGTGGGGGTGGGGTCCTGAGGAGGAGGTGGATGTCAGGGAACTGCTATCAGTACCGGAGGGAGAGAGCAAAATCCAGAGGGATTCCGGAGAGCGTCCCGGGAGTGGGAGAGGCAGCCCATCTTCTGGGGAAGAGAATCAGCGTAGCACCAGTGGAGAAGGGGGGCAGATGGGGGAAGCGGCGAGGCGGTGCCATGACTCCTTGCCGGGGACCAGCGGGGAGAGGCCTACGCCCTCCTTGCGCAGAAGGCTTTCGTGCAGAGAGAGTAGGAGGAGACTAGGTGTCAAAGAGCTTCTTTGCTGGAAGAAGTTTAAGAAACGCCCACTGACGGATTCTGCCAGTGATTGAGACAGCCACGGGTGAGTGGCTGTCCGGACAGGAAAGGTTCACTCAGGCAACCCAGCCGGGTGTTTGCACCGGCTTACGCACGAGCAACCCCTAGAACCATTACAGATAGCAACGGGAAATTTTTTTGTTTGGTTCACATCTAAATAAAAATCTAGGTAATATACACTTCCTGAAACAATATGTGAACCAAAACCTAGGTATCCTTCAAAACGGAAATCCTTTGAAGTCCCCCAACCCAAATGAATGTGTACAAAGTATGTATATTAGGGAAACAAGTGCATAAAAATGACAGCCAGTGAGTGTAGTGGTTAGGGTGTGAGACTAAATCCCCACTCATGAAGCTCGCTGAGTAACCTTGGGCCAAACACTGCCTCTCATCCTAACCTACCTCACAGGGTTGCTGTGCTAATTAATGAGGAGGGAGAGAACTATGTATACCACTTCTGGAAAAAGAGCAACCAGTCTCAGCAGTGGAGGCACATCACATAATCTGAATCTGTCAGGCAGCGATGTTCTGCTTTGCTTTTTGATTGATGTGGTTACTTTTGGATGTTCTTGAGCAGGCACAGTGAGTGGCTGTGGCAGTAGTAGCAGTGCAGGTGGCCACAACAGTCCTAAGACTTTGGGGGCTGATAAGGGCAGCCCACACAGATCTGCAGCCAGCAGGAATTCACGTGCCATTGCCTATTTTGTTCTCTTGGGCGGGAGGTTCTGTTACCTGGACAGAAAGTAACAGTGGTGCGTTATCTGCAAGCAACCTTGCTCTGTCTTCTCTCTAGTATTTTCACCAGGTATGCTACTTGGGAGTTTTTAGAGCTGGTATGGGGTGAAGCACAACATTCTGGACAGATCACGGTTCCTTTGCAGGTAGAAGGATAGACCTGGGTTCTGGGGACACTGAGGGTTAAAGGTCCTCCTAGTTACAGGTTGTCATTTGCTTCAAGTGACCAAATCAGAGGGAATAAGTAGATGAATTCACTCTTACATATAGGGTGCTTACCACTAAACTGAGGAATGCTAAGCCGTGCAAGATTCATGGCAAGGAGGAACTAGGATAATTGTTATGATGTATTATTTGGGAGGGTGCAGACACAGTTGTGGAGTGGGCACCTTTGGTAAAGTATTTAGATGCTATTCACAGAGCTTACTGTTCACATTAGCGTGACAAGGGGGCAGCATCCCATTTGCAGATCTTTGCTGAGGTCTGTAGGGATTGCCTTGACTGAATGATCATCAAGAAGTATCTGGAGGAGAGTCCTTTATTAAGCACTCTGTGCGGTTTCCTCTTGAACAGTTTGAATTCACTGGAGTTTTCTGCAGTATAGTGTCTGCACTGGGCTACTTCTTGGGAGCTTTGCCTCTCATTCTTTCTGAATTGGGGTTGCTGCTATGGCTGCAAAGAGGATGCAATGGCAGCTGGCATTCTGGGGCATATCAGATGTGCATGCACCCTGGTGACTCGACTAGCACTAAGGGCTACTCTAAGGGCCAAACGGAACTGTCCTTTTCCTGTAACTGGTAGACCATTGGTGAAGGAGCAGCCAGGTTATAATCCAATGGGTGATGTTATTGGCACTAGGTAAGGGGGAGTTTGAATAGTTGCCTCACCTGACCTGACTGCATGGTCCAGGAGGCAGTAAGAGGCTGGCACTCCCTCCTCAACAGCTCAGTACCAAGTCCAAGGTAGTTTGGGGACTCTCCTTCATCACCCTTTCTGGGTTGTGCAATTGCTAGTACCATTGTGTTGGATTTGAACAGTGGATTTGAGTGAAATTCAGAAATTGCTGAATTCCAAAAAAGTGGTGCCTGGTGAATTACCTGAGAAATGAAAAATATCTCCGTGGCACACTTTCTCAGAAATCTCAAGAACGATAGGCCTCAATAAACACAGCACAGCACACCATTGCGCACCCGCATGGCCCCACAGTATGCCAACATCTTCATGGCAGATTTAGAACAACATTTCCTAAACTCCTACCCACTCAACCCTCTCTTGTACCTGTGACACATTGATGATATTTTTATTATCTGGAACATGGTCAACAGACCCTGGACACCTTCCACCAGGCATTCAATGACTTTCACCCCACCATCAACCTAACAACGAACCAATCTATGCAAGAAATACTATAAAAATACAGGGTGGGTGTATAGACACCACCTTATACCGTGAACCAACTGGCTGACAAACATATCTACACGCTTCTAGCTACCATCCCAAACATACGAAACAATCCATTGTACATAGCCAGGCCCTACATTACAGTTCCAACTCTACAGACAGAGACTCTCACCTAAGAGATCTACGGCAAACCTTTTTAGAACTAAAAATATCTGCCTGATGAAGTTAAACAACAGATCAACAGAGCCAGACTGATACCCAGAGAGAACTTGCTGCAAGACAGACCCAAAAAAGAAAGTAACAGAATACTGCTATTAATCACATACAGCTCCCAAGTTAAAACAGTTCAATGCATCATCAGAGATCTACAACCTCTCCTAGGCAATGAGAGTTCTGTTTCTCAAGCTCTGGGAGGGAAGACCTTCCATTGCTTACAGACAGACACCCAAGCTTAAACAACTCCTCACCCACAATAATACAGCAACCAGACTTAACATGGACACTGGTACCAGAGCCTGCAATAAACCCAGATGCCAACTTTGCTGCCACATACACCCAGACAACACCGTTACTGGCCCCAACAACATCAAACATACCATCTCAGGGCTATTTAATTGCTCATCTTCTAACATTGTGTATGCCATCAAATGCCAACAGTGCCCTTCAGCCCTCTATATTGGACAAACAGGCCAAACACTACACCAAAGGATAAACGGACATAAATCTGATATCAGGAATCACAAGACAGAGAAACCAGTAGGAGAACACTTCAATCTCCCAGGACATTCTATACAAGATCCCAAAGTAGCTGTCTTATTACAAAAGAATTTCAGAAATAGACTGGAAAGAAAAGTTGCTGAATTGCAACTTATTACCAAACTTAAAACCATGGAGAGACCTGGTCTGAATAGAGACATTGGATTCTTATCTCATTATACATGATAAAGCTATTTTTAGCCATCTCACCCTTTGCTTTTTCCTGTAAGACCAACTGCAGTCGTTAACAGTTGTCAACAGGTTTACCACACCTATCAGCCAATCACCCATTCCCACCACCCTTCTGAGTCTGGTGACTTCTGTTTCAGTGTATCTGAAGAAGTGTGCATGCACACGAAAGCTCATACCAATAACAAACTCAGTTGGACTCTAAGGTGCTACTGGAAGGATTTTGTTTGTTTGTTTGTTAAGACATTTTCTGATAGCTAACTTCTGGTTTCGAAATGGCAGCCCCAGCAGGTGGTGAATGTTTACATATTTTACAAATAGATACTACAGTCTTCGCTTTTAACTTTCCAGATGAGAAGAAATGAAAAGTTGAGCAAATAGGAACAGATAATTTTGCAGGTATTAACAATACATGATAATTCAATACATGTAATTCTGAAAGTACATATCTGTACAGTGGTACCTCTGGTTACAAACCGTCCTCCTTATGCATGCTTCAGGTAACGAGCTCCACTAACCCAGAAGTAGATGCCTCTAGTTGCGACCACTGCCCCGGGATGCGAGCGGAAGTCACACGCCGGCGGCACGGCGACAGATGGAGACCCATTAGCAAAAGTGTGCCTCATGTTAAGAACAGTTTGGGGTTAAGAACAGACCTCCAGAACAAATTAAGTTCATAACCGGAGGTACCACTGTACTCAGAAATAGATAAATAAAAGAATGTGGTACAAAACTTGATTTCAAGTAGTGAACAAAGCCTAAATAAAATATTCAGACAATATCATTATGCCAGCAGTGTTAGAATGCCTATAGATTCAGTAGCAAGGCAGGCTCTCTTATGAGCAGTTCCATGAGAGGGCTTACCCTTTTGTTAAAAACACTTGTAAACATAGCACTCTGGAACAAGCATTACTTCAACTAGGATATATGAGAATCAAAAAGCTAAGTGGCTAGACCTTCTTCATGCAGGCTGTTATTATCTGCTGTCAAGGTATACACTGGCTTTGATCATCCTAGAGCTGTTTTACGGTTGAACCAGTAATTCACATTTCACTCCTTCAAAATTCAATCCACCCACCCTTGTCTGGTAAACAGAAAGTCAATATAAAAACCACTGCATTCTAATGAACAAAGTGAATTGACTGTGCTTATTTTTAATTATATCATACAAAGGTAAGTTTACCTCAGTCTTGCCAACACACCCACAAAAATTACATGGATGCTATGAGATGGCTCTACCCTTCTTGCCCATTGCATTTCAGTGCTGGGCACTGAGGATGGTGCTTCCTTCCTCTCATGGCCCATTTGGTTACTATTTTGTGCACAGAAGAGGGATGGAGCATCACCTACTGCAACCAGGCAAGTGCTTAAATATGACGTTTATTTATCTGTTTGCTCAAAAACTGTTGATAATTTACACAAGATAATACCACCAAGGCAACCATCTGTAAACAAACACTAAACGTTCATAAAAATGGCAAAAGTAGTTTCTTTCCCAAATAGGTTTTATCTTAAACAATAGCAAACACAGTAAATAAAGAGTTCACTTGTAATATATCAGCGGTTCAGTAACCAAATGGGTTATTACAAGGTGGCTTAAATCAGACTGACTACCTGGAGCACATCAACACACCATCTAAGATTAGAAGAGAATGATAAAAAAAGAACTGTTGCAGCCCTGGAATCTATTTGGATCCAGCGCTGCCTGAGAAACAGATGTTCAGATCTTCAGCAAGAGGCTTTGCTTCATATCCTGCCACTATCAGAAGTGCAACATGAGACAAGGTCTTTGCAGTCGCAGTGCCCAAACCAATGGTGGACAGACTGCAGCCTATGGGCCTAATGTGGCCCACCAGTTCTCCTCATTTGGCCTGATCACCAATCTAATCCTTAAATGTATGTGAAAAATATCACAGGAATGGAAGCAAAACATTATAGGAATATATCACCTGCTTATGGCCCCTAGCACCACAGCAGACTTGCCTACGTGTTATACATATACCTCATTATGCCTTTGCGCCATATTCAGTAAATGACACTACCCACAGCTTACATGCACCCTTCTTGCCTCTGTCTCTCTCACCTCCTATTTTATTATTCTCTCACCCCACCCATGATCTAAATTTAGACTGTATGGGCACAAACCTGTATTTTTGCTTACATGGGTGTTATGTCCCTAAAGGTATTGTATGAAAATTACAATCCGCAACACCCAGTTTCTGACTTTCTGTCACATATGAGTGTGATCAAACAGAAGCAGAATTCATTGTCAACTGGCGCAATCACCAGGGGCAGATTTAGCACCACTCCAAACAGCTTGCGCCCACACACTTTTTGCATATAAAAGTTAATGCTTATAGAAAGGAGAATAAAGGACTGAATTTGAAGACAATGAGTGTCCCAGCCCTCAGTAAAATAAAACCTGGAGTGGTTATATGTTCAAACCAAGCACTCAGTTGCATGCAGAAGTCTTGTGCGCTGTTGACTTGCTGCACTTTTAAATGTTCAAAAACTTTAAAAAATGATAATGAAGTAAAACATACACACACACCGAACCACAGGCTTGAGGAATATATGAATCAGGGCTACACTGCAACATTTTGTTATCGGGCTTGTTTATACAAACTCCTCTACAGGAAGAGGCGTGTCATTGTTCATGTAGCCAAAACAGCACCACCCTTGCACATGAAGGAGTTATCAGCTACTTTGAAGGAATCCCAAGGTTTACAGAAGTACAGAAAATATTTAAGAAAAAGCCCTAAAGAGGATGAACCCAGAGTGGATAAAAATTAATGCTTTTTTTTTTAAAAAAAAAGTTTGTTATTTAAATAGGATTATTTATTTTTTCTAATCAGAATTTTAAAATAAAATGCTTTTGGAGGAAAAACCTTTCTACAGATAGTTTTCTATTTAAGTTACATTATAGTCCAAAGGCTATTCATCAGGAAATAAGGATTTGTTTTACGTTTTTCACGTGTGCTAAAACTCAAAGTTATGTTTTTTTAAAGTCTAACCACACCCGTTAACAAACATGGATACATATGCTATAATGTTATTGCTTTAATTAAATTGTTTAAATTGTTATTAAGGAAATTATTATTTTTCTCCTTCCAATAAAGTACAGCAGAAAAGTTGTCTAAACAGTTAACTTATTAAACCTCACAATAATTTCATAATGATCTATGTATTTTTAATAGTATTACCAAATCAGTAATTTTTGATATACAGTAACTGTAAAAACTACTCAGAAAATTTATTATTCCAAAAATGAAACCTTCATCTAGGTGTAAATACATATTAAGATTATACCAGCAAGAATGAGTCTTTTAAAATCGTGATTTAAACTGATTTGATTTAAATCAAATCCACCCTGGCTGAACCCCACAAACAGACCAAGAATGGTTATGCCCAGTGGTCATAGATCAGAGAGAGAAAAGCCAGAAGCCAGATGGGAAGGTGAACAGAATGGAGTATCATGGAGAATGACATTTTTAACTAACTGGAACAGTAAACAGAAGAACTCCACATAGCAACATTCTTTTGCAGGTTCTACTTATTGTTGTTGTCAAATGTATGCTAGTCTAGTCAATACAGCTGTGTCTACACATGTGGCAGAATGAAGTGACTGAATGGATAACACCATCCAGTCTGTAGGGAGCAGGTGGCGCTGTGGTCTAAACCACTGAGCGTCTTTGGCTTGCTGATCAGAAGGTCAGCGGTTCGAATCTGCACGACGGGTATGAGCTCTCGTTGTTCTGTCCCAGCTTCTGCCAACCTAACAGTTCAAAAGCACACCAGTGCAAGTAGATAAATAGGTATGGCAGCTGTGAGAATGTAAACAGTGTTTCTGTGTGCTCTGGCTTCCGTCATGGTGTCCCGTTGCACCAGAAGCAATTTAGTCATGACCCAGAAAGCTGTCTGTGGACAAACACCTTCTCCCTTGGCCTGAAGCGAGATGAGCGCCACACCCTATAGTTGCCTTTGACTGGACATAACCGTACATGGAGGGACGCGGGTGGCACTGTGGGTTAAACCACAGAGCCTAGGACTTGCCGATCAGAAGGTCGGCGGTTCGAATCCCCGCAACGTGGTGAGCTCCCGTTGCTCGGTCCCTGCTCCTGCCAACCTAGTAGTTCAAAAGCATGTCAAAGTGCAAGTAGATAAATAGGTACCGCTCTTGCGGGAAGGTAAACAGCATTTCTGTGCGCTGCTCTGGTTCACCAGAAGCAGCTTAGTCATGCTGGCCACATGATCCGGAAGCTGTACGCCGGCTCCCTCGGCCAATAAAGCGAGATGAGCGCCGCAACCCCAGAGTCAGTCACGACAGGACCTAATGGTCAGGGGTCCCTTTACCTTTACCCGTACATTGGTCCTTTACCTTTTTTACCTTACCATCCAGTCTGCAGGGTAAGAGGGGACCGCCCTTACTCAAAATACTCCATAGAAGAAACCTAACCAAACCTAGTGAGTCGGTTGGCCTTGGATCTTTATCTCTGATGTTCTAGGTTTGCTTACTTGTAGTGGTTTTCTAACATGATAATTATTCAAAATGGCTTTCCCCACCTGCAGGATACATCTCAAAACTACTACCAACACAGAGCATGGCAGAGACACAAGCATTCCTCCCCTTCCAAGACTGGGTGAGTACATTAACTCACTCAGGCAGTACAGTGGTACCTCGGGTTACATACGCTTCAGGTTACAGACTCCGCTAACCCAGAAATAGTGCTTCAGGTTAAGAACTTTGCTTCAGGATGAGAACAGAAATCGTGCTCCGGCGGCGCGACAGCAGCAGGAGGCCCCATTAGCTAAAGTAGTGCTTCAGGTTAAGAACAGTTTCAGGTTAAGAATGGACCTCCAGAACGAATTAAGTACTTAACCCAAGGTACCACTGTACTACTGCCAGAGGTCTGAACTGGCAGGTAGCTGTTGAGGGTCAGCAACTCAAGGGGTACACAAGCACAAACCACAAGCAGTGGCCACTGAGGGCACAGTAACCACCACTACCAACAGAAGAGTTGCTGGGAGTTGTTGTTGTTGCCACCCCACTCCTTCTGTGACATAATGTGATGTCACCTGTGCAGGCAGCAGCACTCCTCACCACCACCACATAAAGGCAGAGGAGTGGTGGTTAGAAGGAGCCCTGCCCTGGGTGGCAGGCTGAACTGACTGCTTCTCTGGTGGGTGATCAAGCGGCAAAGAGCAGCCACCAGAGAAGTGGGCTGTTCTCCTTGCAGTGTCTATTGCTGCTGCTGCTCAGGAGACAAGACTACTAAGGGAACTCATAGCCGTTTTCTCTCTCCCCTAGTGCAACAGGGAGGCCTGATCCCAAGCACCTCACTGCCCAGAGAGAGAGCAGACGTAACACCACCATTCCATCTTCATCCATTCCAAACCAGGACGAAAGCATATGAATCCCCACACTCCGTAAGACTCAAGGGGTGAGTGAATGTTGTGGTCCCCAAAGTCCACTCTTCAAACAGAAGTTCACAGGTAAGTACCCATTTCCAGGGGGTTTTTTTGCCAGTGTGGACTGGAGGACACACAGTTGATAGAATGCAGCAAAGCAGTAGAGGACAGGGTGGGATCCCTCTGTATCAAAACCCAAATACAAATGACCCTCTCTTAGCACCTTCCTACCAAAAAAACCCAAACAGTGTCAGCTCAGGAGAAAAACAACCACCCTGCTTTATAGTGCTTCACACAAAAGTGTGCAGAAACAAGGCCCGGCAGATATGTCAACAAGTGGAGGAACTAAGTCCCTGGTCGGGGAGCAGGGTTATAAATATATTATTGCCTACCCAGATGTTTGGAAAGTTTGTAGATTTAATTCTGTTATGTTTTAAATTATGGAGGTAAGAAAACATTTTAGTGATGATTTTATCATTTTTAAACTGATTAGTGTTTTTTCCCTACAATAAAGAGATATATTAATTTTATTAATTAATTGAATTTTAATTTGTTTTAGTCAGTCTGTTCTATAGTGGTTTTAACCTGTGTATATTAAATCATGGAGATAATGTTTTCTTTAGCGATCCTTGTACAGTCATACCTCGGGTTACAGACGCTTCAGGTTGCGCGTTTTTGGGTTGCACACTGCGCCAAACCAGGAAGTACTGGAATGGGTTACTTCTGGGTTTTGGTGCTCACGCAGAAGCGCCAAATCACGCTTTGCGCATGTGCAGAAGCGCCAAATCGCAACCTGTGCGCGTGCAGACACGGCGCTGCAGGTTGCGAACGTGCCTCCTGCACGGATGACATTCACAACCCGAGTGTCCACTGTATTGCTTTATCTTTTAGTTGTGAACTGCTTTGAGGGTGTTATTTTTTCTACAATCAAGTGGTACATGAATTTCATAAAATAAAATAAAATTGTCATTAAAAAATAGCAGCAGCAGCAGCTTCCTTCCAGCCACATACACACAAACATGCTGCTTGGCTGCAGCAGCGAAGTGGTCAACTGAATCCCTGACAGCGAATAAGACAGAGTACAAATAAGTATGTAATGTAATAATAATTAATTGCTCTAAAAAAAGGTGCTCTTTTCCAGGCATCTCCGACCACACACATCCCACTTGGACAGGTCGGGAGGACATGTGGTCTGGGGGAAAAGGCAGTGTATAAATTAATGAAATAAAAACAACTACAATAAAATTTAAAAGCAGCTGCTTGGACGTGGTGGGTAAGCGGTCAGCTGAGTCCTTGTCAGGGGAAAAGGCGGAGAATAAATAAACCGACATTCCTTTTCAAGCAGCGCTGCTGCTGCCTTCCAGCCCCGTCACGGAGCCCGCGGGGAAGCCGCCGCCGCCGCCGCCTCCTCCGCTGACATGGCGGGGCGCGGCAGCCCGGTTCGCGGCCGTGGCTCTCTCGGAGGAGGCGCGAGGAGGGCGGCGGCGGCGGCGGCGGCGTCACCGCCCCTGAAGGTGGCCGGCGGCGGGGCGGCCCAACAAGGAAACGATCCCCTCGGCGGCGGCGGCGGCGGCGCCCCCTTTCCCCCGACACGTCCCGCTCGGCTGCCCCCCCCCCGCTTCTCCTGAGGGAAACTGGCCCCTCACAGGCGCGGGGGCCGCGGCGGCTTCTCCTCCGGGCAGCGCTCCCTCACGCCCGCCTTCCCCTCGCGGCGGCGCCTACCTGCCGGCTCCGCTCTCGGCCCCGACCGAGCCTTGTCGGCAGGTGCCGCCGCCGCCGCGGGCGGGTGTGGGGGCCTCGCTGCCGCCGCCGCCCGGGGGCCGCCCGCCAACACCAGGAAGCGCTCCTACCTGCCCGAGGAGGCGGAGGAGGAGGCCGCTAGACCGCCCCTCTCCCAGCACCGCCCACCGCCGCTGGGGCGCCCGCCCCCGAGCGGAGCCGAGGGAGCTGCGCTTCGTCGGGGAAACCTCCGGAGCCGCTCGGCTCTCATCGGAAGCTCTCGGCTCCTTCCGGGGGCTGAGATGGCAGCGAACGACGTCCACGGACCGGGAGCTGTTTTGCGCCTGCGCAGTGGAGCTGCCGGGTTTCCCCCATCCCCCCCCCGCAGGACTAGGGCCCGCCCAGGCCAGCAGCCTGTTCTGCCAGTGGCCAACTAGATGCCTGTCAGAAACCTGCAAGCAGAACCTGAGCACAAGAGCAACGCGCTCTTCCTGTGAGCCCTCTCCTCCTCCAGGAATTTGTCTAGTCCCCTTTTAAAGGCCTCCTGCGGGAGGGAGTTCCATAGTTTATTTATGCACTGCGAAAAGCCCTTTTATAATACAGTGGTACCTCTGGATGCGAGCGGGATCCGTTCTGGAGCCCCATTCGCATCCTGAGCAGAACGCAACCCATGTGTGCAGGTCGCGATTCACCGCTTCTGCGCATGCGCATGCCGTCATTTTGAGCACATGCGCGAGCGGCAAAACCCAGAAGTAACCCGTTCCGTTACTTCCAGGTCGCCGCAGGACGCAACCTGAAAAGATTTAACCCAAAGCTACTTTAACCCAAGGTATGACTGTAATAATAATAATAATAAAAAATTTTATTTATACCCCACCCTCCCCAGCCAAGACCAGGCTCAGGGCGGCTAACACCAGATATAAAACAATTGATTAAGATACAACTTAAAAACAAGATTAAAATACAACATTAAAATCAGCCTCATTTCAATAGAAACTCAAATCAGAATCTTTTTGGGGATGAAAACGTCAAATCTTCACCAAGGCCACCTGTCCAGACTGGTCCTACGTGGGCCAGAAAAAGCCAGGGAAGTCCCCAAATAGGAGTTCCATCACAGAAGGAAAAAGGGGGAGGGGATCAATTAATTCCAAGCCAAAGGCCAGGCGGAAGAACTCCCAAATCTTATCACATTCTGCTTCATCGGATACCCACGAGGTCTAATGTTATTGAAAGATTATTGAAGGGGGGGGGACCTTTGTCTGTCCACTTTCTCTGGGCCATGCATAATTATATAAACTTCAACCATGTTTCCTCTTCCTTGCCTGTTCTCCAACTAAAAACCCCCAAACACTGCAACTTTTCTTCATCGGAGAGTCACTCTATCACCTTTTCTGAACTTTTTCCAAATCCATAATATCCTTTTTGAGGGGAGGTAAAGTGTACCACTGTGCATTAACCTAAGCTTTGGAAGCTCCTATAAGGGCATGTGTGGCTTGACATCTGGTTCATCCCTGGCTATTCACCCACCTTCCATGTTACAGTATAACCCCAATCCTAATGCCTGTTTACTCTGAGAGCCAGTGTGGTAGAATGATCAGAGTATTGGATTAGCACCTGGGAGACTAGGGTTCGAATCCCTGCTCAGCCATGAAGCCGTGGGCCAGTCACAGTCTTTCAGCCCTAACCTACTTAATTAATCATAGAATTGTAGAGTTTGAAGGGACCTTGAGAGTTTTCTAGTCCAACCCCCTGCAATGCAGGAATCTCAACTGAAGTATCAAGGACAGATGACTATCCAACCTCTGCTTAAAAACCCCCAGCGAAGGAGGGTCCTCCACATTATGAGGGAGACCGTTCCACTGTCTAATGGCTCTTGCCGTCAGAAAGATGTTTAGCCAGTTGGTGGTGGTGTAAAGATAAAAGGGGAGGGGGAACAATTTACACCACCTTGAGCTCCTTGGAGGGAAAAGGTGGAATTAATGTAATAAATAATAAAACTAAAGCCCACTTAGTTCAAAGAAGTTTACTCCATTATGTGGTCGTACTACCTAGCCTATGGAATGGGCTCCATCAGGAGGTTGTGGACTCTGCTTCCTTGGAGGTGTTTAAGCAGAGGGGGGTGTCATGGAGGCTTTAGCTGAGATTTCTGCATTGCGGGGGGTTGGACTAGATGGCCCTCAAAGTTCCTTCCAACTCTACAGTTCGATGATTCTGTTATTCCAATGCACTATTTGCTCAGGAACAAGCTCCATTGATTATAATAGGGCTTTCTTGAGAATTTATGAACAGCCCTGCTAGATCAGCCCACAGGCCCTGCTGTCACAGCAGCAGACTAAATGCCTTTGGGAAGACCACAAACAAGACTCGAGTTTACTTATTGGTAAACTAACATGGGATAAGGCTGTAGATACCACAGAAGGCAACTCAGCTAAAAGTCGGTTGACAGAACAGCTGTCAAGCTTCACGTGTCACAGGAAAGAGAGGTGCCACCTTAGATCCAAAACAGCTTTAAGTCCTGATATGCCTCATCTGGACAGGCATAACCTGGCCACTACAACCCATGCATTGGCAACCTTGCAGCTGGACTACTGCGATGTGCTTTCCATGTGGGGCTGCCCCTGGATCCAGACCCTCCAAGAGTCCCTATTTTCCAGGGGCGTGCCTGGTTAAGAGAAGCCGTTCTGGTTTCTGATTTGATCCTGGAACGTTCCACTTTTCCTTAGGATGCCCCTATTTTCACTGGAGAAACGTTGGAGGGTGTGGAGTTATCCAACCCTCCGAGCTGTCTGAAGGCAAACCTGTCTAGGGAAGTTTTTTTAATGTTAAATGTTTTACTATGTTTTTATATATGTTGGAAGCCACCCAGAGCTGCTGGGGCGACCCAGTAAGTTGTGTGGAGTATAAATAGTAAAATTATCGTTTCTCCCTATTTTCATCGGAGAAATATTGGAGGATATGTGTGGTGCAGAATGCCGACAGCATGTTAACACCTTTGCTACAATATCTGCACAGGGTTAGATTTAAGGCCCTTGTGTTCCTATATAAAGAGCTGAACAACCTGAGTCCAGACACCTTAGGGATGGCCTGAGCTTTAATCTCTCAGTTTGATCACACTGAGATCACCTACAAGAATATTGCTAGCTGTCCTTCATGTTACAGGCCTGACTGGCTTCTACCAAAAGTCAGACATTTAGTGCTGCCCATGGAAAACCCTTCCAGCAGAATGTCAGCAAGCACCCTCACTTTTTAATTTCAGGCATCTCTTAAAAGACCCTTTTTATGCACATAGGCACATGTAACTGTTAAAAATGGAGCAGCCACTCATTTTAAGGATCATTTTTTACTGTTTTTATGGTCTTTTATATTTTATTGTATACAGTGTTGTATGTCACTGGATTATATTGTATGAACTGGCAATATATAAAAATACTTTTATATATTAAGAAGAAGAAGAAGTGTGCAAGGCAACTTCCAAGAGATTAAATCAATGCAAGAAAAATATGCAAAGCAATTAAGAACAACTGAAATCAGTGGAGCAGCATCTAGATTATAAGCAGCATTATGATATTCCATTAAGACCTTGAGCAGCAAAGCAACTTGTACCTAAGGTGTATTAAAAAAGTGGTTTCCAGGTAAACATGTTTGGGGAGGGTGTTCCAAAGTCAGGGCATGATGACAGAAAAGACTTTTCCCTGGTAGCCACCCAACCAACCTGGGATACCCAAAGTAAGGCCTCAGCTGACCATCTTAGTACCTTCGGCAGGCTTGTGTGACCTACATGTAATAAGCCTGACATAAGGTAATAATGTTTTCCCCTAATATTGTTTAGCTCATAGAACAAAGTCCTCTTGGCTTCTATATGCCAGACCCTCTACTGCAAAGTAAATGAACGTAGCACACAGGAGATGAAGTGCCTTTGGCAAGTGTTCAAGGGGGAGAGAAGGAGCAGCACTCAAGCAGCGATGTTTTGTGTGAGAAAAGGGATGTTACAAGAATGCTTTTATCTGCAAAATGTTGGAAAGCTATATATGCATGGGTGAAAACAGTGGACCCCACCAGTTGTGCAATCTGTGCACTGCACTCAAAGCAAGCAATTTGTCATCATGCTTTTTAAAAGGGGAAGGGGGGGTGAACAGAGCCATTTTAATTTGAAGGTCACAATTAATGTAAAGAATAAAATCTGTGCTCCGTTCATTTAAGTGGCTCTTCCTGGAATAGCCTAGCCTTATGGTGTGTTCTCATTTAGTGTACAGCGGTTATGCCCTAGTGGCATCTCTCCAGTTATAAAATATCTACAGAGGAAGATAAATAAATAATTAGATCAGGAGTCGGGATCAGAAAAGCAGCAACTGAATTAGACTAATTGATTTTCAGATTGACGTGTTTCCAAAATGTGTACCAAGGCACAAGAATGTATTTCTATATTTGAGTCTTAGAATAAGATTTGCCATGTATATTGCTACCCTGTTCCATCTCACGCTGCTAAGATTGACAGGTGCCACAACAGCTTAATGGGTAAAATTAGAAGGGTCTTTTGGAAGCTGCCACACCTTTCTGACCTAGAAGCCCTGCTCCCCAATTTCATATGTGCAAGAACTGCCGGTGGTTATGCAATGGTGCAGGAAAGCTACTTTGTGCATGCTCAGACTATTTCCTACCTATCTTGCATTTCAGAAAACCAATAGTGAATCCTTGGTACAGGAAATGTCTCTGAAGCTGAAGAATGGCAACTGCTGTGGGGAAGCATGGAACAGGACAGCTCTCACACAGAAGGTAACAGGGGAGGAAGTGGAACAAGATTCCTCACTATAACCCAGCAGTGGTGATCTTCTAGTTGTTGCCACCATCCTGGACCATTGACCATGTTGGCTGGAGATGATGGGAGTTGGGGTTCAGTTCAAAAATATCTGGAGGGTCACAGGTTCTCCACTCCTGCTATAACCAGAGGGCCCTAAACATTTTGAGGCCTGTGGTCCCTTCTTTTCTTCCCAACGCTATACTGCATAGAACACCAATGTCTCACAACAAATGTAACCGAAGAACCTGAAGAAAGAGACAATGCATGTGCTTTTCAAAACGAGGGGAAATTATTTTAAAGAAGAAAAGGCGTGTGCGGCAGCCCCCAGTATTTAAAGAGCCCCCACCCCATTACATCATTAGAACCAGAACATAAACCTGTGAAACTAGAAAAGAGCAAAAAATATTAATGTTTGGTCCTGATACTAGGTACTGCACCCTCACTAAAGGAGACTGTATGGATGATTCACTAAATGATTGTAGGTTGATGTGTGTACCTGAGCTTATGGCCTCAAATTCTCTTTATCTTATATGCTGCTTAATTACGATGACTAGACTACTGATCCTAAACTGAATAGTTAGTTGCCCAACCACCCCTCCAGAACCCACTGCTCTCAACTGATTCTCAACTGCCTCGTATTCAAACTCCCTTTCAAATCTTCATCCAATCATCACTCACCACCAGAATTCCACAATCTCTCTTTCCCCCTCCCTCCCGCCTTAACATTCCCATAATAATTCTGATACAATTACCTTAATACAGTGGTACCTCTGGATGCGAACAGGATCCGTTCCAGAGCCCCGTTCGCATCCTGAAGTGAACACAACCAGCGTCTGTGCGTGCGCGGGTCGCGATTCGCCACTTCTGCGCATGCGTGTGACATCATTTTGAGTGTGTGCACAAGCAGCGAAACCCGGAAGTAACGCATTCCATTACTTCCGGGTCGCCGCGGAGTGCAACCCAAAAACGCTCACCCTGAAGCAACTTCAACCCAAGGTATGTCTGTAACCCTATTACACTCAATATTTTATACATGCTGCTCCCTGTAACCATACTCTTAGAAGCACTTGAGCTTCCCATTCTTGGCTCCTAGCAAATGGGGGTGAGCAAACTGCAGGTTCTCCATCCCTTTTCTAAAAACCAGATGTCTTCCCCCAAATGATCCTTGGAATTGAAGTGTTAGGGGTTCTGGGGATTGTAGGTCTGTGAGAGGGAAGCCACAATGGCACGAATCATTTTGGGGGAAGTCATGTGTTGGAAGGGACCCTGAGGGTCATCTAGTCCAACCCCCTGCAATGAAGGAATCTCACCTAGATGATTCAGGGCCGACGGCCATCCAAGCGCTGCTCAAAAACCTCCAAGGAAGGAGAGTCACTGCTTCAGGCACTAAGGGCTTGCTCCATCCTCCATGTGACAGCCCTTTAGACTTTAGTTATTGAAAGGGCTGCATGGGGTGGATCTCACATCAGTGTTATGAGAGTGTCAGCAACACATTTCTCTCTCCCCTTTTTCCACACCATGCAGAATTGCAATGGTAACCAGAAGGCTGGAGTTTGGCGCCCAGCCAGGGCTGGCTGTGGGCAGGATCCTTGCATTGCCGGGAGTTTGATTAGATGACCCTTGGGATCCCTTCCATGGTATGATTATATCAAGCAGCTAAAGGAACAGAAAGATGCTTCTGAAATATTTGGGAATCATAGAAACACTCTTCCCCACCAGTGGCTTCCAGCAAGAGCTTGCATCTTCCTTAGGAGATAGGCAGGCCAAAAAAGGGGGGAAAGGCTCAGAGTTCAGGTAGGTGGAAATGCCAACTGGGTGCCCTATACTATAGGAATGCTTCCTTCCCGTGTCCCCCACCCTCATGCACCAGACTGGTGCTAGCATGGCTGAGAGCCAGCTGCTTGCTGCTTGCTCTGTTTTCTTTGCAAGGAGGGATCCTTTCCCCAGCATATACTTTGTTCTGGCCAAATCCCTGGAGAGACGTGACAACCCTCAGGTACTGGGGCAGAGGGAAGGAAGGGGTCCTTGTGAAACACGTTTGGGGAGTCTGTGGCTTCCAGCAAGTGCTTTTCAGAAGCATTGCTCCCTCCAAGAGGAGAGGCTGAGCATAGCCATCATGGCTAGTTGCCTTTAATAGGCCTCTCCTCCATACAATTGTTTTGCCCTCTTTGAAAGCCATCCCATCCAAGATGCTCTTGTGGTGCATCTGATTCTCCTGTGCTTCCTTGCTTCTTCAAGGAGATGACTATTGTGAGATCCTTTGGTTAACATCTCTCTGGGCTGGAAAGGATTAAAGAATCAGAGGACTGGTGAGCTTTCCTTGAAGCACAACTAATCAAAGGCAGGCAAATCTGTTAGCATCTTGATAAAGATGCTCAAATGACAAAAGATGCTATCATACCCCGCAAGCCTCAGAAAAAGCTCCCAAGCTGATGGAGAAGAGAGCAGTTAAGTGGTCAGTGGGGCTCCAGGTTGTCGTTTCTGGATCCCACCACAGCCCTTCCAAGTTGACAAAGAAATCAATGTCACAACAGTTTTTTCCTCCTGCCCATGATCCCTCATGGGGCCTTCTCAGACATATGCTGTGTCTAGAATCATAGAATCATAGAATCATAGAATCATAGAGTTGGAAGAGACCACAAGGGCCATCGAGTCCAACCCCCTGCCAAGCAGGAAACACCATCAGAGCACTCCTGACATATGGTTGTCAAGCCTCTGCTTAAAGACCTCCAAAGAAGGAGACTCCACCACACTCCTTGGCAGCAAATTCCACTGTCGAACAGCTCTTACTGTCAGGAAGTTCTTCCTAATGTTTAGGTGGAATCTTCTTTCTTGTAGTTTGGATCCATTGCTCCGTGTCCGCTTCTCTGGAGCAGCAGAAAACAACCTTTCTCCCTCCTCTATGTGACATCCTTTTATATATTTGAACATGGCTATCATATCACCCCTTAACCTCCTCTTCTCCAGGCTAAACATGCCCAGCTCCCTTAGCCGTTCCTCATAAGGCATCGTTTCCAGGCCTTTGACCATTTTGGTTGCCCTCCTCTGGACACGTTCCAGTTTGTCAGTGTCCTTCTTGAACTGTGCTGCCCAGAACTGGACACAGTACTCCAGGTGAGGTCTGACCAGAGCAGAATACAGTGGCACTATTACTTCCCTTGATCTAGATGCTATACTCCTATTGATGCAGCCCAGAATTGCATTGGCTTTTTTAGCTGCTGCGTCACACTGTTGGCTCATGTCAAGTTTGTGGTCAACCAAGACTCCTAGATCCTTTTCACATGTACTGCTCTCAAGCCAGGTGTCCCCCATCTTGTATTTGTGCCTCTCATTCTTTTTGCCCAAGTGCAATACTTTACATTTCTCCCTGTTAAAATTCATCTTGTTTGTTTTGGCCCAGTTCTCTAATCTGTCAAGGTCGTTTTGAAGTGTGATCCTGTCCTCTGGGGTGTTTGCCACCCCTCCCAGTTTGGTGTCATCTGCAAATTTGATCAGGATGCCCTTGAGTCCATCATCCAAGTCGTTGATAAAGATGTTGAATAAGACTGGGCCCAAGACAGAACCCTGTGGCACCCCACTAGTCACTCTTCTCCAGGATGAAGAGGAACCATTGATGAGCACCCTTTGGGTTCGGTCAGTCAGCCAGTTACAAATCCACTGAGTGGTAGCATAGTCAAGACCACATTTTACCAGCTTCTTTACAAGGATATCGTGAGGCACCTTGTCAAATGCCTTGCTGAAATCAAGGTAGGCTACATCCACTGCGTTCCCTTCATCTACCAGGCTTGTAATTCTGTCAAAAACGAGATCAGGTTAGTCTGACATGACTTATTTTTCAGAAATCCATGCTGACTATTGGTGATCACAGCATTCCTTTCTAGGTGCTCACAGACTGTTTGCTTAATGATCTGCTCCAGAATCTTCCCTGGTATTGATGTCAGACTGACT